CTGGTTTGCAGAAACCCAGTGGAACATTTAGATTTGAGAGGAGTGGTCCCTGTGCTCTGCCAGGCAGTAGGGATTCCAGAGCCTGGGGCTCAGCCTGGGCACACATGCCTGGCATGAGCATGGGCCTGAGCCCAAGAGCGGAACCTGCATGCCATTGGTGGTGGTGGGGGTGGTACCTGTGCCCATCCCCAGCCCACTTTTGACTGAGCAGGAAAGTGTGAGACTTCGCAGTCACTGGTTAGAGATCAAGCTGGTGTTCGGGTGGGGCTGGGCACTGAGTGCTCCCAGCGATGGAGGTGCTGGGCCTCCTATGGCAGGGGCCTTCTCAGCCCTTCCATGTGACTCAAGGAACCCCTGCAGCAGTGACCCAGCCCTGGCCAGCAGAGCTGTGTCCCAGCAGAGGGCTCTCGGCCAACACCTTTACACTGTGGCCTGCAAAGTGGCAAGGAGACAGTGTCCAGCAGCACATGTAGAAACATGAATGGTCATCAACCAGGGGACCCTGAGAGGTGAACTGCTGTGTTTTATGTTCTGATGGCAGCGTGGAAAGGTCGTGGGGTTGCATTTTTGCTGGATGTGCTGTCTTGGGAGCAGATAGCAACAAGGCATTGTGGATTGAGTGCTGGCCAGGACCTAGCTGGCCACTCCCTCTCCAACTCTGACTAGGGCGCCCCCTCCCTGCCCCTTATGCCACCCCCTGCTCCCTGGGAAGCCAGTTTCCTCCGGTTACATGTGGGTGTTCTATGAAAATGAAAGACCACATTATTCAGGAATCCAGAGCAGCCAGTGGACAAGATGGAACAGACCCTGGTTGGGCGGGGCATCTCCTGCTGCAGGAGCTTTGGGGCTGGGACAGATGGTGCACTTGGGGCCAGGACCCTCGGGGGACCACTGCAGAGGGAGGGGACATCCTCAACCCAGGGTGCTTGGCTGAGAACATAGGGGCCCCAGGCCTGCAGCAGGTGTGGTGGCTTCTGGGATCCAGGCTGAGCCCTGGAGTTGCCCACCAGGGCAGGTGAGTCCCTGCTCCACTGATGCCCGGCTCCAGCAGTTCCTAGGCCCTAGGGGCTCCTGTGGCTGCTCTGTGCACCAGCAGAGGCTCATCGTGGCTGCCGGAGTACCTGGTGCCCGGTACAGATGGGCGCTCAGTGGTTACTCTGGAAGCAGATCCATCTCACTTCCCCTCAGCAGTGTCTCCTCTCTCCCATGTGGCAGGCAGGGTGTAGCCGTATATAGCCCCAGAGACCCTGGAGACCAAGGGATGACATGTGGGTTCCTCAGGACCCTCAAGGAGGGGGATGTCTGGACTTGGGTCTCACATGGCTGCAAGGAGTCTGGGCAGGGTGTGGTTGGACAGCCAGACTCTGGACATCACCAGTGTGGGATAGTGGGTTCTGGGGCAACACTTTTGAGCTGTAGGCCTCCATGGGGAACAACTCAGCTTCCACTGTGAAGGTCTCTGTGTGGGCAGCCACAGCTCCCGCCCCCACGTGCAATCGCTAGTGTTCCAGCCACACAGCAGTTAAGAGCCACTATTAGCAGGCATTGTTGCAGGAGAGTCACACTTCCTCATCAGGTTGCCAGGAAAACGGGGGCAGAATCAGCCCCAGGTCGGATTCACATCAGACTGCAAAGGCTGCAGCCAGCGACCAGAGCTGTGGCGACACCTGGCACTGGTCATGTCCTTTTGTAGGGTCCTCTGCTGGGGTGGGATCTGTCCTCTTTCCGTCCTCCCTCGAGATGAGGTCCCTCTCTCCAGGGACTTCTGTCAGGTGAGCCCTGCTGTCCCTGTGTACCCTGTACCTCCCGGTGTCTGGGGCTAGAGGAGACCCACCAGACCTCCACAGATGGGCTGGTGACTCCCTGACAGCCCCAGCGCCTGTGCTGTGCTGCTCATAGTGAGCACCTTGGTCTGAGCACATGGACATGATGGGGGACGGGGCACAGGTGGGACCTGTCACAGGGTTGGAGCGGGCAGGGAGCAGCAGTGGCTACACTACTGACTGGAGCCCACCTGCACGCGAGTGCCCTATGAGCATGCCCACTCCAAGGTGAGGTGGGTGTGAGTACCTGTGGTGTAGGGGAGGCTGGGTATGCTCCCTCGCTGCTGGGTTTGTCTGGGCTTCTGCACTGTGGACACAGGGGCTGAGGAGGGACTGTCTGGACACAATGTGGGGCCATACCTTGCATCCCCCACAACTGAGAGCCACGAGGGGCAGGCTGGATCTGGGCTCCCCCTCAGTATGTGCAGGTTGGAGAGAGATGTCTGTGGAGCCTGCATCCTGAGATTGCATAGAGATACATAAAATCTCACAGCAGTGGAGAATTTTCCAGCAGATACAGTTCCCTGGGCACTGCCAGGATCACTCCGCGCAGCTCGGGAATTAGTTCTGGGCATGTGGCCACCTCATGGCTCAAGGATGTCCTACTCAGCTGTTGGATGCTGTCCTGGTCCCAGATATCCAAGCCCTGACCTTTGGCCAGCGATCGATGCATGGCTCCTCCTTGTCCCAGACAGCTGGAGGCACATTGCAGGCTGTTTCATCACAGCTGCAGCCCAGCTGCAGAGCCTGGCTGGGATGGGGCAGCAGCACCGGCCCTGCTGCCTGCAAAAGGCGACCAGGAAGGACTTGGGCAGAGGCGAGATGGGCAGGGCATGGGCAGTGCTGAGTGGGGCGTGGTGGATGCTGTGTGTGCAGGGGCTGTATGTGAGTGTGACCATGGATGTGTGCATGCACGTGTGGGCGTGAGTGCAGACTACCTGGTGCTGTCTGACCCTGCCTCTTGTGGCCTTGTGTTCTGAGCTGGCCCTCAGCCTGGGTCTGGGTTTCTGCACCCCTCAAGAACTTGAGCTTCACACATGGCCCCAGGGACATTCTGGGTGTGTCCGTGTATGCCTGTCCAGCCAGGTCCTTTTGTCGGTAGGGAAACTGAGGTGGAAGGGCGGGATGCTTAGCAGGCTCACTGCTGTGGAGATCAGTGCTCTTCCTGCCCCCATGGGTGTCCAGTGGCACAAGCAGGTGAAGCCAGGGGCTAAGGAGGTCCAGAATCTGCACCACCACCTCTGCGGCCCAGAGGGAGCCCGGCCCAGCTTCCTGGCCCGGTTCCCCTGCCCCCCCCTCCCATAGTTGCCCTGTTCTGAAGCAGCAGGGCCTCAGGCATCCTGACTCCTCAAAGGACCAGGTTCCAAGGTACTGTCTGGGCTCTGAGGCCCAGAGACCTGAGCAGTACCAGTGCCTGCTAGGACAGCTGGACATGGCTGACCTGGGCTCTGCTGGAGCACAGGTGCTGCTTCAGGCTGGAGTGGTCACAGTGAGAGACATATCCTGCAGAGGCCGTGCCTGTCCCTCTGGCTCGGGAGAGAGTCAAGGTGAAGCAGCCTGCAGGTCCCTGGGCTCAGCCTGTGCCTTCCAGGCTGGGCAGTCCTGTCCTGGGTGGGGGTCACTTGTATGCGGGCCTCTGTGGAGCCTCCTTCTTCCAGTGGCACTGGAGGGAGGCAGCAGGCTTTGCCCTGCAGACCAGGACCCAGCAGGAATATGGACAGTGGGCAGGGTCGTGGGGCAGCAGGTGGGGTGGGCAGCATGGAACTGGGGTCCAGGCCAGCGGCCTGTGGTTGTGTCTTTGCAGGGTTTTGATGGTGATGCATACATTGTGTCACAGCAGTGCGAAGCCTCAGCTGTCAGAGTAACTGTGGTTCATCTCGTTTTGCAAGTTCATTGTTATTTACAACTTCAAATTGAACCTATCAGGGTGGCATAGTCTATCATTCCAGCTCTCTAGGAGGCTGAGGCAGGAGGATCTCAAGTTCAAGGCCAGCCTGGGCAACTTAGTGACTAAGTGAAACTCTGCTCTCTAAAGAAAAGAATTAAAAAGGGCTGCAGATGTAGCTTTTTGTGCGGGCCCTGGGTTCAACCCCAGTGTTGCAAAACCCCATTGCCATTCCCACTGGATGCCCCGAGTCCCCGCAGCCTGCTCCCTGTCCCCACACAGTGAGGCTCCAGGAAGGGAGCCTTTTGCTCTCACAGTTGGGAGGCCCCTCATGTTGGGGTCCCTGTTCTCTGAGCCGTGGTCTCACAGTCATGTGGCGCAAGGCTGTGGGAAGGAAGCCGGTGGTGCCCCCTCGTCCCCAGGGTCCAGCCAGGTGCTGTTCCACCCTGTGGGACCACCTGGCCCTCAGGGGGTGGAAGGTGATACTGCAGCACCCTCTCCCCTCCCCTTCAGGAGCTGTTAACCTTGGGACAGTCACTCCCAGAAGGCTGTGTCCCCCGTTCCCCAACTGCTTTCTCTGCTTTCTGAAGGCCCGGCGCCAGGCAGCCGAGACTTACTAGATCCCGTGAGTTGTCCTCTGCCTTCCTATTGCTGCCCACCTGTGTGCTGTTGATCAGGGTCCAGCATTTCCTGGACCCTGGACATTTGGTGCAGTGATGCCAGCGGGTCCTGGAAGGCTGCAGTCCTGGGGAGGCGTGGGGAGCTGGTGGAGTGGCCCTGGGTCCTAGGTCTGTGTGGGTGGGAAGGCTGAACCCGGATGGCCACTGGACCCTCCCCTTGCCGCCTCCCACCTCTGAGGCAGCAGTTGGATCAGAATTGGAATTGTAAGGAGTTGAGCATTTTTTAACTTCCAGTTTTACCACAGAGCTGTGGCCCCGGGCCAGCGCTCCAGCATTCTGGACTGTGGGGAGGGTGGGCCAGCTGCTGCTGCAGTGTCCCCAGGGGCACAGGCCTGGCCTGCAGCCCCCAGGCCCACACACACCCCAGGCAGAAACTCAGCAGCTCCCAGGCCAGGGAGAGTGGGCGACACTCCGCCCACATTCCTGAGTGCCCCCAGCCCCCTCCCCTGGTGTGGAGGAAGCAGTTAACTGAAGGTGCCCATCACCTTGGTCCCTCCTGTGGGAGTGGCAGGAGGAGCAGCTTGGCCGTGCTTGGAAGGCAAAAGGAGGCGGAGAGGGCTACCGGCTAGCCCCTCCTCCCAGCTGGCAGAGGCGGTCCTGCCTGCCTTGCACACAGCCCAGCACACAGCCCCGATGGCTCCCAAGCCCAGCGGATGCCTGGTGCTGCTGCTTGCCTGCTGCCTGACGCCCACCTGGGCCACCCTGCTGCCCCTGGAATGGCTCTGGTCCTCAACGACCAGTGACTCCACAGCCACTCCGGTCTCCCAGCCCCAGGGCCACCCCTCCCAGCGTGGCCCCACGGAGCCAACGACAGCCCCTGCCAGCACCCAGCTGGCCTTGAAGGAACAGGAGGTCACCTGGAGCAAGAGCTCTGCTTCCCACGTCACCCCCTCCAGCCTGGCTGCCTCTGCCGGGAGCCTGGATTTGAAGGAGGAGGAGAACATCGCAGGCGTTGGTGCCAAGATCCTGAATGTGGCTCAGGGCATTCGGAGCTTCATCCAGCTGTGGGACGATGCTGCCCCCACCGGGGCCTCTGCTGCCACCTCAACCCCTACAGAGCCGCACACCCTCGAGGGACCCTATAGTGACTCCCAGGACAGTGGGCCTACCCTCTGGTCCAATCTGGGAGCCCCATGGGTTCTGGGTACTCAGACAGCGGAGGCTGGTGCCCTGGCCATGCCCACCCAGCTACCTCCATCTCTGGGTAGGTCCCCGGCACTGCCAAGGGGATCCCCTGTGTCGCCTGTGCCCGCAGGGAGAGCTGTCCTCTCTGCTGCACTGGGTGGGGCCCCTCCCTGGGGCAGCCAGCGACTCCGTGGACATCCCAGCTTCCGACAGGTGCTTTCTGTGGTGGCGGGCATGCCCTCTGCTCTCTCCTCCGGCCCCTCAGCCTGGCTCTCTCTAGTGGCTGTGGAACCTTTCCCTGGGGTCATCGGTGCAAGGGTCTCTCCTGCGGCTTCTTCCGCGGGGCCTGGGCTCACTAACTATTCTGCACTGCTGGGGCTTGGCCCCCCGACACCCGACGGCCGCTGCCTGCCCCTGACATCCGCTCTGCCCGTCTGCAGCCACCTGGGTGTGGAGCGCTCCTGGCTGCCCAACTACCTGCACCACAGGGACATTGAGGAGTTGTGGGTGGCTGCGCAGGCCTGGGGGCGCCTCATGCAGACACACTGCCACCCTTTCCTCGCCTGGTTCTTCTGCCTGCTGCTGTTGCCCCCCTGTGGCCCTGGCCCACTGCTCTCTCTGCCGCCCTGCCGCCAGTTCTGTGAGGCTGTGGAGGACTCGTGCTGGAGCCACCTGGATGGGGGGCCGCTGCCTGTGGCCTGTGCCACGCTGCGTGCCCAGGAGGATGGGCTCTGTGTGTTCATTGGGCCGGCAGCAGGTAATTGCCCAGCCCTTCCCCCAGTGCCTGGCCAGGGGACCAGGACAGCCCCAGCCTTGTAGGGAGGCCATTGGGGTTGTGGAGTTGTGGCTGCAGGCCACAATGGCAGACAGCATGGTGTCACCAAGAGGGGTTGTGGCCAGGGGCTCTGTGCTGCTGCAGGTGGTGGGGGCACCAGTGATTTAGTTCTTGTCTTGGTTCTAGGACAGTCTACGGTCCCCTCAATCACACTGGGAAACTGAAGCCCAAAGCTGTGGCTTGGCCTGTGCCCTGGTCCTTACACTTTGCCATTTAAGTGGCCAGGGGGTCAGGGAGGGGTCTTGTGAGCTTCTCAAAGGTTGAGAGGTCTGGCTGCTCCCAGGGCCTGCACAGCCCCAGCCTCCTGCATGTACTCCATGCACCTGCCTACCGGGGTTTACCCCACCCGGCAACTGGCCAGTGGGGGTGGCAGGGACAAGAGGGAGGAGGACATGGGCAGCAGATCAGGCTCTGTGGCGCCTCCACTGGCTCTATTCCAGCTCTTCCTCCTTGGCCTGGGTGTACCTTGTAGCTGTGGCCATGCTATGGGATGTGAGGGTCCTATTCTCCATACCTGCAGACACAGCCTTGACTCTGCGTCAGGTGGGGGTGGCTGTGTGGGAACTGTCAGGATCCCATGCACTGGGCTGCTGGGCTGGGGTTCCAAGCAAGTCTTGGCCAGTTTGGTTCAGCAAACCCCAGAGTCCCCCAGACCTCTGCAGGACTAGGTCAAGACAGAGTGTGGGCAGGGCAGGGTAGGGCGCTGAGGGTGTGAGCTGGGTGGCCTTGCACATGTGTGTTTGGTGTGTGTGCACGTCTGTGGCCCTGTTCCTGACACTTGCTTGCCTCCATCTCTGGAACAACCAAGGCAGCCCAGGCCTCCATGTGGGGTGGCACCTCACCTGGCTGGCCAAGCCCTTTGCTCTGGTCCTGTGAGGGGCAGCTTTTCTGTGGGAGCCTGGGCAGCTCAAGCATAGCCAGATTCCTTCTGGAGGAGCCCTGCAGCCCAAGGTCAAGCTCAGGAAGCCAGGTCCCCTGTTGGTGAGGCTTGGCCATGTGGGGTTCAGACTAGGCTGGCTCTGGGAGGTCTTCATGCTGGCTGGATCCAAGCTGGGCAGCATGGGTGAGGAGTTTCTTTCCCTGTAGCCAGCTGGCCAGCCAGTGCCTGAAAGGGACTTTTCAGAGAACATCTGGACGCATTGGCTATGTCCCCAGTAGAGCCGAAGGGGGCTCTTCCATCAGGCTGGTGACCTGTGTCCCCGTAGGCCAGAGGTGGGCGGCACATCATCAGGCCATGGCCTCTCAGACATGGCTGGCAGGGGAATGTCCCCATCCTTGGACCCCTCCCTGGGTCCTCCGGGAGTGGGCCTTACACCAATTGGACACTGCTACCTAGCTTGAGGTGGGCAGGAGGGAGAAGTTGCAATGGGACAGGAAGGGACCTTGGTGCCTGGTCCCTTGGAGGTGGCTGTGAGGTCCTGGAGTGGAAGCCCTGAGCACTGACCCTCGATAGTGACCCCAGCCAGTGTGGTCAGGGCAGTGCTAGGCAGGGAGGAAGAACCTGGCAGGAGGGAGCCAGACCTGCCACCCCTTCATGCCTGTGCAGAACACTCTGGTGCTGTCCCCATGTGTACCCTCTGCTCATGGGCCTGGCCTGTCGCCTGGTCCTGCACACCCCTATGCACACCTGCACACTTAGGGTTTTGAGCACCAAAGCCCATACTCTTGCACACTGGGCCTGCAGAGGTGCTGTATCCAGGCCCTGCCTCTGCCCCCTAACCTCCCTCCCAAAGCTGCTGGGCATGAGTGACCAGGCCAGGTTGTGCAGGCTGCTCTCCACATTGCTTGAGAATGACATGGAGCCAGGTCTGCATGATGGCCAGGGCACTGGGCCTTGGGGATGAGGATGGCCAAGGAGGAGGAGGAGCCCTGAGGGCTGTCCCTACTCCCCAGACAGGTGTGGCCCAGGGCTCCACTTTGCTCCTCCAGTCAGGCATGGGCGTTCGGAGCATTAGTGCTCCTCAGAACGCTTCAGTTAACTCGAGGTTTCTATTTAACTTTGATTCAGAAAGGAGACAAAGCACTTCCATGGAAAACTACCTACATGCTTTTCTCTCATGCTGTGCGGCCTGCAGACGCTTTCTGAATCAGCTGACTGAGCGCCCATGGGCTCCTGTCCGGCCACACCCAGCGGCTGTGACTCAGCATCCCTGCCCAGGGTGGGCTGGGGTGCGGGAACCCTGCGTGCACCTGGTGCAAGGTTTTGAGCACTTAGGCATCTTGGAATCCTCGCCACGCTGGTGTGGAGTGACAGACATGTCACGTGGCGTGGCCGCATGAGGTGGCCTTGCGTGAGGTGCTGCGGCATTGCTGCTGCTGTCACCAGCGTGGTGCTCAGACTCCAAGCTTGTTCACCCTGAGTCCTTGGAACCTGTGCCCCTAGCTCAGTTCTCTGCCTCCCTCCCGCTCCTGCATCCGGGTGTGGTCTCCTGAATGAGACCGTGTGGGATTGGTCTCTCGGCACTACCTTCTGTTGTGTTTTGGCCTAAGCGCCTCAAATAGGTGTGAAGTGGGGTCTCCTTGGAGCTCCTATTCCTGCCAATCAGTGTGGCTGTGTGCCCTGTGTGCACCAGCCCTTGCCCCTTTCAGTCGGTTGCCTTGCTGTCGCTGATGAACCTGAGGGATTCTCTTGTGCTCTGGGTATTAACCCCTTGGCAGAGTTACCAACCACATGCAAGTATTTCCTCCCTTTCTGTGGGCTGTGGGCTGTCTACTGTTTTTGATGCAGAGTGGTAAATTTTTTTCATGGAACCCAGTTTGTGTTTTTCTTTATTGCCTGTGCATATGGTATGCAGCGCCAAACCAGATATCATGGTGCTTTGGGGTGTTGTGTTCTTAGTAGCGTTGTAGCCAGGCCTTTCCTGGGCATCTTTCTCCTTGTCCATGCCGGTGATGGGTGAAATACCTGCTTCATGCAGTTTTCGAGGCTCTGCTGGTGGACAAGACTGTCCCTTCCCCCGTCAGAAGGCGGCAGACAGAGCCTTTGCTTGTCTTGTGCCCGCTGCTGACTCCTCTCTGACTCTGCATCTTCGCTAGTGCAACATAGCATAAAGTGCAGAGGGGATCCAGTTGGATAGGCTCAAACTGGATGATGCAGAAAGGAAATTACAGGCAGGTAAGCTGCTCGTGGTTTTCCCACCACTGGGAGAATGGTGTCCACGTGATCTTCCTGACATCACCAAAGGGAGCGACAAGAATCCCTGTGTGGAGGGTCTCCCTGCGGGAGACCACCAGCGTGTGCCATGGTCCCACATACCCACTGCATGTCTGCACTGCGCCCACTGGAGCCCTGATCAAGGAGGCAGCCACAGCAGTGGGGGGACAAGGAGCACAAGAAGGTCACATGTGGAGCGGCTTCAAGTACCAGAGAGGAAGGCAGAGAGGCCCATGCTGGTGCCAGGTCTTCCATCCTCCTGGACCTCAGCACTGGCGGAAGATGGCTGTGGCCAGGCAGTGGTTTGCATGCAGAGTGGGGTGGCTGGAGGTCCTATGGGTCACCTTGGTGATGCCGACATCCACTGTGTCCCCCCAGATTCATGCTCACCCCAATCCCATTAGGAGGTGTGGCCTCTGGGGGTCAGGAAGTCTCCAGAGCCCTGACTCCAGGACCGGGGTCAGTGCCTTGTGAAACGCTCGAGGTTGAGGGGAGCAGGTTTGCTGACCCGTCCCTTCTGCCACCCATGGATGTGGTGTTGGTTTCCTGAGAGGCTCAGCTAGGAGGGCTCGGGCTTGGCAGGGTGGGGCCTGGCCTCCAGAGCCTGGAAAACTAACTTCTGTTCTAGGTCGCTGTCTGTGGCGTTTGCCCACAGCTGCACAATCGGGTGAGAACTTGATGACCTAACTGCTGACCCGTGGCCACAGGCTGTTGCCACTTGTTTATACCTCCCTCGGCTTCTCTCAGAGTGTGCTGCAGTTTTGGTGGCTCACGTCTGTCATCTTCTTGGCTAAGTTGGGTGCTGAGCACCTTCTCTCTTTAATGTTGTCACCCTGGGACTCTGTGTTTGTCACTTCCTTCCACACTGCCCGCTGCTTGAGGAGAGCAGTGATTTCTGGGTGCTCCCTTTGTGTCCTGCTGCTATATTAAGCCTGGTGTTTCTTACAGAGCCATGGCTCCCACAGGGTTTTCTACAGGTAGCATCCTATCTGCAGGTGGTGATAGCTCCGTGCTTTCCTTTCCTTTTCAGGTTGCAAGCTTTTTATAACTCTTTTTCGCTTTGTTATAGTTTGAGTCATTGGCAGCGGGGAAAGCGGTGCTTGCTTGGGGCATGCCATCTGGGGCATGCAGTCTGCCTGGTTCTTCTTTCAGGGCCTGCCAAGATGGCATGATGCTTCCTTGATGGTCAAGCATTTTTATCATGAAAGGGTGTCGGATTTTGTCCTATGCCTTTCCTGCCTCGGCTGAGATGACTCTGGGTTTTCATGGCATCAGCACGGTGCTTGGTTTCCTATGAACGTCCTGCACCAGGAATTACCCGCTCAGTTGTGCTGTGTGATCCCCTGGGTGACCTGGGTTCAGCTTGCTGCCATTTTGTTGAGAATTTTGTGTTGATGTTTGTGAGGGATGCTGGCCTGGAGTTTTCTCTCCTTGCAGTATCTTTGTCTGACTTTGGTTTCCAGTAGTGCTCACCTCACTGGGTAAGTTGGGAAGTTTCTGTCCTTGGTGGAGATGTTTGAGAGGGATTGCTGTGATTTCTGTACAGTTTAGTGGAGCCCCCAAAACCACTGGGTCCAGGGGCTTTCTTCTTTTTTTTTGGTCTTTTTCCTTTTTATTGGTACCAGGGATCGAACTCACGACTGCCTGCTTGCAAGGCAGGCGCTTATGCCGCTGAGCTAAATCCCCAGCCCTCCAGGGGCTTTCTTGATGAGAGGATTTTTGATTACTGATCTAGCCTTGTCCCAGGGTTTCTATTTCTGTTCTTCATTTCATCTTGCCGTTTCATCAACATTATTACCCAATTTGTTGACTCTCTTTAATTCCTGTAGAATCGATAACGTCCTAGCTTTGATCTTGGTAACTTGAGTCTTTTTTTCTCCATCTGGTGAGCTAAAGGTTTGTCAATCTTTTTGTTTGTTGATCTTTCCAGAAAGCCAACTTTTGGCTCCATTGATTTTCCACTCTTGTTTTCCTGTCCTCTGCATCGTTGACCTCTGTGCTCATCTTTATGTTCTTTTCCTTCTGTTTTCTTCTCCTCTTTCTAGTCCTTATTATGTGAACTGTGTTGTTCATTGGAGGTCTTCTTGTCTTTTTAAATAAAATGTGGCTATGAATTCCACCTCTATTGTGTTTGCTTGTGTCCTGTTAAGATTTTATGTACTGTTTTCATTTGTGTTTGTCTCTAAGTGTTTTTCTCATTTATTTTTTTGATTTCTTCTTGATTCATTGGCTGTTTGAGAACATTATTTAATTTCCACAAAATGTAAAGTTTTCCAGTTTTGCTTCTTTGTGTTTCTAGCTTTGCCTTCCTGTGGTTGGAGCCTGCATTTGAAGTCTGCTGATGCTCATTTGTGGTCTGGGCAGCAGTGTGTGTCCTGTCCCTGGCTGGGTCATCCTGTGCTGGGTCTGGCTGGTCTGTTGTGTCCTGGAAGCCCCTGAGTCCTTCCCTACCTCGGTCAGGCTGTTTTGTCCATTACTGAGAGGAGACTGAAGGCTCCAGGACATTGCTGCAGTCTTCAGTGGCTCCTCCACTGCTCCGAGCTTTGCTTCATGAATCTATGCACTATTACGAGGTGTGGAGATGGGTAATGGTTACACCTTCATAGTGAAGCTGTTAATACTTCATTCCCTCCTTCGTTCCTTATAACCCTCTGTGATTTAATGTCTGTTTGGCATCAGCACAGCTGCCTTTGCTCTATTTGCTGTTGTGGGGGAACATCCTTTCCATCCCTTCACTCTCAGCCTGTTTGGATCTAAAGCAAGCCCTTGTGCCTGTCCTTGGATTCTAGATTGTGAAATCCATTCTGCCAGTCTCTGCCTTTAGGTCGAAGAGTTTCATCCCTTTACATTTAAAGTGATGTGAGGATGAGGACATCTGTGATTCTGCTGGCTGCACCCTGTGTTTCCACAGCTTTGGCCTCTTTCCCTACCTCGCTGTTCTTATAGCTGTGTTCTGTAACAGAGTGTCCACATTTCTGCCCCCTGGCCTTTTGTACATACCTATCGTCTTCTTTGTGACTGCGTGGGGTTTCATTTATCATCCTGCATCCTGGCCCTGGGCTCAGTATAATGATTGGCAAGCACTGCGGCACGCTCAGCCCAGCTCTCTGGGTGCAGATGTCCTGCGGTCCACTCTTTGCAGTCAGTGTGTGCCCCAGGCATAAACTGATAGTTTCTTAAAATCCATTTAACTTATGTACAAAACAGGATGTGGGGTTACAAACCACAGTTACTGTGAGGCAGGCTTCAGACTGATGCTTGCGTTTCTAAGGTCTGAGTCTCTGAGTTCTACAGGGGTTTTTGGTGTATTGTCATTCTCCTCTTTGGTGTTTAGACACTGACTTGGTGGGTTCCTGAGGCCTGGCATCCCAGGAGAGCTGGGGGTACCTGGTGTCCCCTGGAGCACTGCCTGTTCTCTTGTGCTTTCCCTTTGGTGGTTGGGTGTGTCCGCCAGGCCACTGAGGCAGCGCTGAGCACAAAGAGGCGTGAGAGCCTCTGTGGGCATCTTTGTGGCGTCCGCACCATCCTTGTGTCCACCTGCTGTTTGCCCTAAAATCGCCCTGCAGGTTCCAGGTGTCCCTTTCTATCTTGGTGGGATTTCAGCCCAGGATTGATGACCCATGTGTGTCTGGGCCCTGATGCCCTGCCCAGCAGGATGCCTGGCCTCAGTCTGACAGATGTGACATCTTGCCCTTTGCCCACGATGACTTCACAATGGACTTGGTTTTATCTGCACGACTGATGCAATGCTTACTTTGTCTGTTTGTCTGATGCTTTTCCATTTTTACTGTTGTTTTTGATGTTTTCCTGACAACTCAGTGATGGATTTTTCTTGCTGTGCTGTCTTCTCTCCACATCTGCCCTTCATGCTCTGACCTGCAGTCTTCTTTTGTCTAATGCAGGAGTGCGCCCCAGCCCATGATAACAGAGCCTTTTAACCTGTCCTTCCTCTTGATTCCTTTTTTTTTTTTTTTTGTCTTGAGACAGGGTCTTGCTGTGCAGTTCAGGTTGGCCTTGAGCTCTTGCTTTTGTCTATTCCCATAGATTCTGGGTTGTGACTTCTGGTTCCGTGAGGACCTCAGTGTCTGTCATGTGTCTCTTGACCTAGAGGTACTGAAAACCCCAGTAGTGTCCCAGAAGCACCCGATATGCAATCCACGTGACACAGTGTGCCTTCTCACTGGGGCTGCACTGGCGGGATGTGGGGGGTACAGCCAGGCAAAGCTCAAGGGCCACCTGGCTTGCTTGGTCACTGTGCAGCTTTGTGAGCTGGGCTCAAGTCCCGGCCGTCACAGAGCAGATGGTCTAACAGCCGCCCTGGCCAGGTCCCCACCTAACTGTTCCTGGCCTTAGGGAAGGGGCAGCACAGCTCAGGCCTGCCTTGTAGAGGGAGGGATCACAGCTTCCGTCCAAGGCAGCTGGGCCACTGCTGGGTGTGGAGGCGGGGACCTTGGCTGTCATGGGTGTGTGACGCAGAGCTATCCAGTGACCTTAGGGCCCTGGCATGCGGAGGCCGCTTGCTCGCTGGGGAGCTGTAGGAATTTCATGGTGAGGAAATGGGAGGACTTTGGGAAGAGCCAACTGTACCTCCCTGTGGGTCCGGCCCAGGAGGCGGCAGCTGCTGTGTCGCTGTGCGTGTTAATTGGAGGACAGGGCTCTGCCCTGGGAAAGAAGTTTGTGGTTTTATCACTGGCACTCAGGCTGGAGATCACCGCTTTCTGGTGTCACTGTGGGAACAGTGGCATCTGTCCCAGGGCCCAGGTCAGCTGCCTTCAGCTTTGGGATGGCCAATATGGAGAACAGCTGTGTCCACAACTGTCCTGCTCTAGGCATCATGGAGGGGCCTCCTGCAGGAGGCGGGGAGAGACCAAGGTCCCTAGCGACGGCCAGGCTGCCACATGGACATGGGAGGGTGCATCCACTTGGGGGCGGCCATACCTCAGTTTTCACCCTGACCTTACGGGAGCTCGGGGATGCCCCATGACATTGAGGTTCTGCATCTCTTCCCTCCTCCTCTGCTTGGGAGTCCCATTCAGCCCGGCCCTGCAGCTGCACCGTGACTTACGTACACACATGCTTGTACACATGGACACTTCACTACTGCCTCTGTCAGATTGCCCCATCCCAGGAGAGCTCTTGGCCATGGCCTGCCCACTGCAAGGCATCCCCTCCTGTGTGACTGGCACATGTACGGCTGGCATGATGCTGGCCAGGGCCCCAAGTGATGGTCTCCTGAAGTGGCACTGCTCTCCTGTGCCCAGTGGTGGCTGTGCCCCTAGATGTAGGTGGGCTCAGTCCCAGTGGGAAGGACAGGGCCTGAGGGTGAGGACGCAATGCCATGGCTGCATGTGCATGCATGTGCTGTGTGTACATGTGTGTGCACACCTGTGCTCAGTGACTCCAGGGAGACATTGGGCTCAGTGTGGGCATGTGGGTGTGTGGTGAATGCTTGAGGGTCTTGTGGCAACTCTGGGTGACTCAGAAGACTACAGACCATGGGTGCATAGAGAGATCTGCACTCCAGTGAGAGGCTGAAAAGCTGTACCTCCTGGGAGCCCGACATTGCCCCTGGCCCAGGAGACTCCCAAGCCAGCAGCTTGGCCAGAAAAGCTGGGGATGAGATGCCTCCCTCGGGGCCCAGGAGGGATGGCCCTGCAGGAGCAGTTCATGCACCTTCCTGTCCCTTCCTGGCCGTCCCAGCCTGGACAGAGTGCAGGGTGCTTGGGGCCAGGGTCCTCTCTTCCTGCAGTGCAGAGATGCTGTTTCTTCTGGGGTACACTGCTCCTAATGTGTTTCTGCTATGGCCCCTGTAAACCCTGAGGGCGGATGTGACCTGTGGCCATTGTGTCCCTTACAGAGTGTCCTGCACCTTTGGGTCTGATGAGCAGGGCTGACTGGTGGCCCCTGGCGGCATAGCCCAGAGGACCAGGAAGAGCCAGCATGTAGACGTGCCCTTCCTGGCTTGGTTTCCCCTGATGCAGGCCCCCTCACCTGCTGTCTTCTCTTTGCAGAGAGCACCAGCCAGGAGGTGGGGCTGCTGCAGCTCCTTGGGGAGCCCCTGCCCCAGCAGATCACAGCCATCAGTGACCCCGAGGTCGGGCCAGCCTATATCTTTGGACCAGATGCCAACAATGGCCAAGTGGCCCGGTACCACGTGCCCAGCCCCTTCTTCCGTGACTTCTCGCTGCTGTTCCACGTGCGACCAGACACGGGGGCTGCGGGCATGCTGTTTGCCATCACAGACGCGTCGCAAGCAGCCGTGATGCTGGGCGTGAAGCTCTCAGGGGTGCAGGACCAGCACCAGAACATCTCACTGCTCTACATGGAGCCGGGTGCCAGCCAGACCCGCACGGCTGCCAGCTTCCGCTTGCCTGCCTTTGTGGGCCAGTGGACCCGTTTTGCGCTCAGCGTGGAAGGCAGCTCTGTGGCGCTCTATGTGGACTGCGAGGAGTTTCAGAGGCTGCCATTCACACGGTCCCCACGGGGTCTGGAGCTGGAGCCTGGCGCTGGCCTCTTTGTGGGCCAGGCTGGAGGCGCAGACCCCGACAAGTTCCAGGTAACCCTGCTGTGGCAGATGAGGGTTGGAGTGGGATGGTGCGGCCTCTGGAGAGGAGTATAGCAGCTGTGCACCTGGTGCAGCCTAGGGGGAGGCCCTGCCTGCTGGTGGCCAGCCTGGCTTCCTGGTCCTGAGTCCCCCTCACAGCTGGAGTGTTTATACCACTGGCTTTGTGACCCTCAGGGTCCAGCCACAAGGGCCCCTCCTGGCTACATCCTGGGTCTGTGGCAAGTGAGATGGACGGTCTAGGCCTGGGTCAGATGAATGGGGGCCAAGGGCAGCCCAGTTCCTTGATGTGTACAGTCAAACCTCAGCTCCTGTTGAAAATTGTTAACCCCTGGAAGCTGGTGCCGGCAGGCCCTGAACCAAGCATCCTTCTGTAGATGTTGCACACCTGTGAGGGGTAGAGGTGGTGTGTAGGCAGAGTCTGCTCATCTGTGTTCAGGGCTGCTGGTGGTGGAGACAAGTGTTTTCTCCGCCCCGCGTTGGCTGTTTGTTTTCCTGCTGTGTGTTTTCAGTGACTGACCTATTTATGTTCTCACATTTTAGGATAGGCCTGGCCGTTTCTTACTGGCTTTATGCAACCTCTTTATGGATGAAAGAAGTTGAGCCTTGATTCTGTGTGGTGCAGATCTTATGTTCCAGTTGCCCTTTTGCTTTTTAAACACCATCAGGACATTTGAAGGGCCAGTTTGGCTCAGTCTGGTCTGGAGAAAGCACCTATTTTTTTTTTTTTTCAAATCCATTTTATTTCAAAGTGAAAAAAAAAGAAAAAATGTTTCAAAGGGGACAGCAATAGTACATACATTGTGCACTGGCATCCCCGAATCATTCACCCAGGGTACAGGATGTCTGCGTTCAGTTGTCTGAATAACACCAGCACAAATCTTTCTTCTCTTCAGTGGACTCAGGGAAATTGGTAGTGTAACTGTCTTAACTACGTTTTATACGCATATACACATGTGTACCTGCTCTATTTCTTCCAGCGTCTTACACTAGTGAGACAATATGACGTTTACACCTGTAGCACCTGCAGTCTTTAACCAGCAGTCTGTGAGGAGAAGGACAGAGTCAGGCACCTACCCTCGGCTGCTTGCTTCTCTCTGTGATTCCAGAGTCTAGCATGCCCGCCCTCACGGTCTACAGCAAGGATCCCCGGCACCTGCCCACAGACTGGCACTGGTGTGTGTTAGGAGCTGGGTCACGAGGCAGGAGGGGAGCAACGGGCAGGAAGCTTCCTCCATCTTCACAGCCGCTCCCTTCACTGCACCCCATGCCCCAGCTCTGCCTCCTGTCAGGTCAGCGGCTTGGGAGTCTCATTTGTGTGTGGACTCTGCTGTGAGCTGCATGTGCAAGGGATCCAGGTCACTGCTCCTTGTGAGGATTTAACAGAAATGCACGGTGCAGTAGTGAGGGAAATGGAGTGCACGCCACTGGTTGCCCCCGTCTGCCACTGCTGTGGCTCAGGCAGAACTAGGCACCCCGGGCCTGGGCCTGGGCCTGGGCCTTGGACCACACGGGCCAGGATGGTGCTGCCAGGTTCGGTGCTGTTTCAGGCAGAGGGCGGGCTGTGCCTCGTGTGCTCGGGTCACCCCTCTGGAGCTCAGCTGGGGGAGTGTGCTAGAGGCTGCTGTCTGCAGCCAGGGACCCAGGCTTCCAGGAAACTCTTTCCAACTCTTCTGCAGCATCTGCTTTCTTTGTTACTCCACATGCCAGAGCTGTGTGTCTCTTGATTTAATGATTTTTGCTCAAAGTGCCCTTTCCTCATTATCTGTTTTTTCTTTTTCTTCTGTTTTGCTTTTTTCTTTTTCTCCCCATGCTGGGATGGAGCCCAGGGCCTGGCGCTCACTAGGCAGCTCGTTCCCCTTGGAGCCAACCTCTGTCCCTTGGCCCCAAGTGCCCTTTATCATGGTCCTCACTCGACTTGGAGCTGGGAGTAGATGCCCTGCTCCCTGCGTCTTTGGCCAGCAGCCCTCACCATGCATGTGTTTTCTGTCATCTCTGTTATTGTCCAGTGGTGAAAGTGGCTGAGGTCATGAGTCCCCTGGTGTGGGGTGATGGGGATGCTGGTATCCGAGGTCACAACCAGCTGTGTGGGGCCCGTGTCTCAGGACAGGCTCCCTGGTCAGGCAGCAGTGTGTGGGGCTCTGGCCTCACGCCCCCACACCCAAGCTGGACCTAGTGAGGGAGTTCCACTCACCCATGGGTGCGATCTGAACCATGTCCCCTGGGCCTCCCACAGTTGCTCCTGCCCACCACCCTCTATGATGAGGCCTGGGCCCTGGACACTCGCTAGGGGCACAGTCTCGGCGAGATGCTGTATGGAGGTGCCACTTCTGCTCAAGCCACAGCATAAGCACAGATATCGAGTGCTCAGGGCTGCTGTGCAGGAGGCGTGAGAACAGAGCAGGGGTCCCCACAGTGTGACAGGGCTGTGTCAGAGGGCCGAGCGTCCCCAACACAGGGCACAGTGCCTGAGGGCAGCGAAGCAGCCCCATGACACACTCTGCCTTGTGGGTTCTGATCATTCACACACATGTACCTAGGCTTCCCATGTCCCTGGATGTCCCCATTTGGCTGAGGCCATTACACATGTGCAGTGGATCCTATGGCTTTTGTGTGGCTGATGTCGTTCCTGCTGAGTGCTGCAATAGAGTTCCAGCAGGGTGGCCTTGGCCCTGGCGAGTGCAGCACCTGTGCTCCTCACCAGTGCAGCACTTGTACCCCGGCAGAGCAAGCTGCTTGGTCTGCAGCAGGGCAACCTGTGGGGCTCAGGTGTGGGGTCGGCACGCAGCTATGGGGAGCCCCCAGATCCCCCACACTCCTGAGAAGCAGGTTTGTAAGATTTGATCCAGCCCCTCCATGTCCCTAGGATTCTCAGACTGGTGACTCAGTCACCACTGCAGGTCTGGGAGTCTGCGGGACTTGATCCCTTTCCCAGGAGACTTGAAGTGCGGATGGGGAGGGCTGGATGGGGTGCCTGTCCTCCACACTGCCCAACTGCATGCCTGTGCTGGTGCCCACACACATTCATACAAAACCACATACTCTCCAACGTGACCACAGATGTTCACACATGATCACACGCTCTCCATCACGACCATAGGTGTGCACACCAGACCACACGCTCTCCAACATGACCACACAGGTGTTTACACATGACCACACGCTCTCCAACATGATCACAGGTACCACATGCTATCCATCATGACCACAGGTGTTCACACTGGACCACATGCTCTCCAACATGACCACAAGTGTTCACATGTGACCACATGCTCTCCATCATGACCACAGGTGTTTGCACTGGACTATATGCTATCAGCACCACAGATGTTCACATGTGACCACATGCTGTCTATCATGACCATATGTGTTCACATGTGACTGCATGTTCTCTGAGAGGATCAGCCATGTCCATGATGATCACACATGTTCATATGTGAGCATGTGCTCTGTTAGGGTCACAGCGCTCTCATATGGCCATATACTGTCCAACATGATCATATGCATTTCTGCGTGATAACATGCACCAACAGGTACGTGCACTGGTGCTGTGACTCCCATGGACTCAGCCATGTGGCGCCACTCCTCACTGTGGGTGCCAGGATTGCTGGTCCCCTGCTTTTGGAAATGTGTGAAGTATAGCCTGTCAGTGGCAGCCATGCCTTAGGTCCGTGGCCCTGGCTCCTATACTGTCTTCAGGGGTGTTGGCTGAGGGCCAGTGTGTGGAGATGCCCGAGTGGGCCCTGGCTGCTCATGTGTCCCAGGGGACCTGCATGCCCTTGTCCCAGCCAGGCTGCCTGGGGTTGGGGCCTTCTGTACCTGGTGCTGACTGTGCCTCCCAGATGACCTGGCATAGAAGGGCCAGGCAGCATGTGGCATCCTTAGGGAGGGCTGCTGGAGTTGGGCTCATATGCACCAGGCAGGACTGGCATGAATCAGACACTCAGTAGCCTGTGACCCCACTTCTCTGTCTAGGGGGCGATTGCAGAGCTATGGGTGCGTGCTGATCCCCGGGTGAGCCCTGTGCGCTGCCAGGATGAGGAGGATGAGGATGAAGACAGGGTGAGTGATGTTGGGCTGTGGGATGGCAACACGCGGGGGCTGAGTCCTGATGATGGCCAGGACAGGTCTCCAGAGATGCTAGCATTTTACTTCTCTCTGTGGCAATAAACAGGGGCTTGAACTTCATGTTTTAGGTGACAGAATGTAAAGTGATTGTTAGGGGCCATCCCGAGCACCATGGCCTGGCCTGGGGTGGGAGCAGCTCTAAAAGTGTGTATCGGGGCTGGGGATTTAGCTCAGCAGCATAAGCACCTGCCTGGCAAGTGCTAGGTATGAATGAATAAATAAATAAATAAATAAATAAATAAATAAATAAATAAATAAATGTGTGTGTGTCTTCTGTGCTGTGTGTATCTGGCATGTGGCATGTGCCTTTGGTCTGTGACATCAGTGTCTGGCACGTGTGAGCCTATGGCATGTGACATATGCACCTCCTGCATGTGACACATGTGTCTCTAGCATGTGATACACATGTCTGGTGAGTGGCATGTGTCTCTGGCATGTGATGTGTCAGGCCAGTTACATGTATATCTCTGGCAATGTGACACACATGCCTGGCATGTGATGGGTGTGTCTCTGGCATGTGATGTTTTTCTGGCATGTGATATGTACATTTCCTGCATGTGACATTTGCATCTCTGGTATGTGATACACGTGTCTGGCATGTGACACATCTCTGGTGTGTCGGGTGTGCGTATCTGACATGTGTACCGAATGTGTCCTGTAAGGCCAGGGCAGCCTCTGGACAGAGCCTCCAACACTGTCCTGCCCAGGCTTCCTCAGTCCTGGGTGTCATCTGTACCCCTCCTCCTAGGACTGTGTCCGGGAGGCCCGGGCACTTGCAGATCTGAGTCCTGGGGTGTCTGTCCAGCTGATGACACATGTCAGACATAGTATGAGGCTCTTTCAGGCCCTCATGGGGTCATGACTTTGCTTATGTCCTTCTGTCCCTCATCCTGCAGGCATCTGGTGACTTGGGCAGTGGCCTAGAGGAGCACCAAGAACTTCACAGGGAGGACGTGGTGAGTGGCAGTGGGCCAGGGCCCCACAGTGGGTTTGGGTGTGCGCACACATGTGTGACTTCTCAGGGCCCCTGTGTGCCGTGAAGATGGGTTCCCCACTGGGAATGGCGCCTGGGGTGCCTGGCGGTGTACCTTGAGTTCCAGTGAACTCCTTCCTCTGGCTCCTGCTTGGCTGGGGAAGGGTGAACACCCCAGTGGGTCCTGGTTCCAATGTCACTTTGGTCTTTGGGGTGGCTTTGGCCTTCACTTGCCCACAAGCGCATGGGTACCCATGGGGGATGAGTGGGCTTGGCACTCTGATGCCACAGATGGCACCAACACCACCCGGGCAGCCTCTGTGCAGACCTGGAGCTCGGGTGCCTGCCCCGTCACCACCATCCCTACACCGGGCCCTGGGCCCTGGGCATGTGTTGCGAAGGAAACACATGAAGGCTGCAGGCTGTGACTTCAGGTCTCCACACTCACCAGGATGTCTAGAGTGTGAGGGAGTGGTGACCATGGGCTCTCTCAGCCAGGCCTCAACCACTGCTCGGTCCCCCTCGACCCGGTCATCACCTAAAAGAGAATGTCACCAGGACCCCAAGTCACAGAAGTGTCTGGGGAAGTTCCTGGCCACCACGGCTGAGTCTGCAGAGCAGCTGGCTTCCTCTGTTCCTAGGGAACCAGAAAACCCACGCTGAATGTGCTGGGGCTGCAGGCTGGGTGTCCCAGTCACACCCTCTCTGGGGACACAGCTGTTTCTTAGGTGTTTGTGATGCCAGCTCTCAGCCTCCAGCGCCCCAACCATGGAAGCCACCTGTGTGGGCCCCTGAAGGGGATGGGGACCTGCTGGGTTTGCAGTGCCATCCACACCCAGAGAAAACCTGAACAAAGGGCTCAGTAGAGGGCTGGAACTTCAAGCAGCTACTTATCTTGCTTAAAACCTGTGTAAACGTGGCACTTTACAGACACTGCCATCCCACTGTGCTGAGCAGTGCATTCCCATCCCTCCTGCAGGTGGTGACGCAGACACCCAGCCTGCCCCCACCACCCCCCGTGACGACTCCTCCCCTGGCCAGGGGCAGTGGCAAGGAAGATGGCAAGGAAGATGCCAGGACAGAGGAGCTCGAGGTGCCAAGCACGGTGGCTCCATCAGAGCATGAAGCTCTTCCTGGTGGGTGTGCGATCCACGTATGCAGCGTGTGGTGTGAGTAGTGTGTGATGCATGTGTGGTGTGTATTACTTCTGTGTGATAGATGTGGTGTGTGTGTGGTGTGTGTGTCTGGTGGGTGATGTGTGTGAGCTATGTGAGATGCAGGTATGATACATGTGTGTGGTGCACGTGTGTGTATGTGAGTGGGTAAGTGGTGGAGAGTGCTGCCCAGAGCTAACTAGGAGAGTGCTGGGCCCAGAGGTTGTGGAGTGGACACAGCCCTCGATTCTCCAGGAGACAGGCCTGAGTGTCCAGAGCCACGAGGACCCATGAGTGTCCCGGAAGGCAGCTCATGCCTCTCTGCCAGTGGCCGCCTTTGGGGCTGGCCAATCCTCACATGTGCTTGGCTGAGGGCTGTGGTCCCAGGAATGACGTCCGACATGGTGTCACCCAGGTTTTCTCCAGGCAGGAGGCTGAGGGGAGCCACATCTACTCCCCCTACATGGCAGCGCCTTGCAGGGGGTGGGGCCCTGATCCCTGAGCTCTGCCAAGGTGGGACACAGGCCTGTGTCAGGCCCAGGCCAGCTATGTTCTTGTGGCCTATTCTGTGAGGCCCTGGCCATGACGGGCTCTTTGCAGGGAAGGGATGAGAGGCAGGTCTGTTTGTCTGTGTTTATGTCTGTATGTGCACCTGTGTCTCTGTATGTGTATGTGTGTGCATACGTGCAAGTGTGTATCAGGAAGGGAGAGGGAAGAGGTGTGTGGGATGCCACCAGCTTGGCGAAGGTGGCTGTGTTCCTTTCCGTTGTTTTTCACTCTTTGCAACTGAGTGTTGGGAGGTAGTAACAAGGCGGAGGTCTCTTATTAAAATGTACCTGGAGGAATGTTCTGGAAGGTCTGTACCATGTGTACCATGGGTTTGGGATGGCCCTGGGGCTTTGTGTTGGCTCTGGTTCTCTTCTGGTGGCTGGTTGTGTGTCCTTCCTCTGTCCCCCAGCCCTGGGACACCAGCCATTCACCTTGGGAGACAGCAGAGGCCAGGGCCAAGGGTTCTGATGGCAGCCACCTCTCTTCCCTAGGGAAGACCCTTCCGGGTAACGAGTGGGACAAGCGTGCTCTGAGCCCAGGCAGCAGCCTGGAGACGGTGAGGCCCCTCCCACTGTCACCCAACAGAGCCCTGCAGGTCTCCCCACTGTCTGCCCTGCACATCCTGTCTGTGACCCAGGGTCCTACTGAGGACCTGGGCATCGCAGCACCAGGAGGACATGGGCAGTCACTACAGCACATGCCTTCCTGTCCTCTTTATCCCTAGGGAGGCCTGAAGGGGCAGAAGGGGGAGCCAGGAGCTCAGGGTCCACCTGGCCCGGTCGGTCCCCAGGGCCCTGTAGGCCCTGGGATGCACAGCCCCGACACACACTCTGTCCCTGGGCCTCAGGGCCCCCCAGGACACCCTGGTCCTCCAGGGAAGGACGGCGCCCCAGGAAGGGACGGCGAGCCGGTGAGCCCTGTCCCCTGGGCATGGTCCTGTCTGGGGGATGGGATGGGCATGGTCGCTGAGAGGCCTGGGGAGTCAGAGACCCAGGGTGATCTCCTGCTGGGAGACTGGAGCCAATGCCCCGATGACAGCCAGGAGTGTGTGTGGAAGGGGTCCCTGAGGATGCAGTTTGCACATGGGGTCAAGGGTCAGGTGATCCAGTCTTTAACAAATAGCTTCTTTTCTGGCATGTTCCAGGGTGATCCCGGTGAGGACGGAAGACCAGTAAGTTCGATTTTTTTACTGTCAGATGTGTGGTCTTCGTGCGAGGCCTGAGGCCTCCTGAGCCAGGTACACCACAAGGTCACAGCCACACAGTGCCCAGGGCAGGCACTGTGCCGGAAAAACACATAGACTGGATGTGCCAGGTGTCCAGACTCAGTACCAGGAAGCCAGGATGAGGGCAGAGGCCTGTGCACCTCCCAGGCGCTGGGGGGATGAACAGCAAAAGGAAAGAAGGAAAGACGGAGGCGGAGGCGAGGCCGCGAAGGCTGGGGTACGCTGGGTCTGGGGTGGCTCAGAGCAGCCAGGACCACAGGGTGTGTCACACACAGGCAGATGCATATCATAGGTCAGGTACCATCATTATGCTCAGGGTCACTGGTGTCCAGGGTGTCTGCCCTGGCCCTCACTCTGGTCCTCTCCAGGCTCTGTGGCCTCAGGGCTTGGCTCCTTCCTCCCGCTCTGAGGAGAATCAGGGTATGAAGCCCTGTGGATGGCACCATCCTCCACACCAGCTGTCTTTGTCTTCCAGGGGGATGCTGGGCCACAGGGCTTCCCAGGGACCCCAGGGGATGTGGGCCCTAAGGGAGAGAAGGTGAGTGTCCTTGGGCTGAGTGTCCTCCTGTGCAGCTGACCCAGGGTCCTGTGGGCTTCTATGATGGGCTTCTCCATGTCCCAGGGAGATCCAGGGGTTGGACCAAGAGGACCCCCAGGGCCCCAAGGTCCTCCAGGGCCCCCAGGACCATCCTTCAGGCATGACAAGCTGGTGAGTCCCCCAGCCTTCTGCACGTGGGCACCGAGGTCCTAAGGGATGGTGGCCTGGGAGGAGTGGCTCCTGCATTGTGAGCATCTGCCCCAGGGGCAGTCAGTGGGTAGGGGACAGTGGGTAGGGCAGCCTGGTGACAGCCTCTCGGCTTCCTCAGACCTTTGTCGACATGGAGGGATCTGGCTTCAGTGGTGACCTGGAGACCCTCAGGGTGAGTGGCCACAGCCCCATCTCAGGCTGGGGTCTGCAGGGATGTGATCACCCTGTGTGGGCTGTGACATCACTGTGTGTCTCTGCAGGGCCCACGAGGCTTCCCAGGTCCCCCGGGCCCCCCTGGAGTCCCAGGCCTGCCTGGTGAACCTGGCCGCTTTGGGGTGAATGGCTCCCACGTCCCAGGACCCCCAGGCCTCCCGGGTGTGTCTGGGAGGGACGGCGCCCCAGGATTTCCTGGATCTCCGGTACATCCTGCTATGCTATCGGCTGGGAGTGGGGGGTGATATTTGGCAGGCCCAGTTCTGGCCCCTCACCCCTTCTTCAGGGAAGGCTGCCCCCCATTTCTGGGCTGCCTCATGGTGCTGGGGTGTGGACGTCACTGTAGTCCCCATGGGCGGGGTGGGAGAGCTGGGGTCTGCACAGCTCGGTTCTCATTCCCTGTGGTCAAGGGGCTCTGAGTAGCTGTCCACATGGGGTACCCCCCCATCAGTGCTGTAGGGGACCGGGGACCCCTCCCACCCCCCATGGCTGTCTGTTCGGCACAGCTTCCAGGTGGGACCTCTGGATCAGAGACTGCGTCATGCACTGCTCCAGGCGCCTCCTGGAAGCTGAGGGTCCCCTGCCTGAGCCTGTGTGGCCACCACCGCTCACAGGACTGCTGGAAGTTTGTGTCTTCCTAATTGATTGGACACTTGGAGACAGGGCCCATCTCTCAGTGCTGTGGCTGAGTCCCTGTCAGGACGTCCTGACCTTGGGGCTTCCAGGGTCCTGGCTATGGGGACATCCTGTGCCCTGACCTTGGGGGGCTTCCAGGGTCCCGGCTGTGGGGATGTCCTGCGCCCTGACCTCAGGGCTTCCTGAGTCCTAGCTACAGTCCTACCCAAGAGTTTTCCTGTGGCCCCTGGTATTCAGATCCTCACTCTGTTCTTCTCCCTCAGGGACCCCCAGGCCCTCCTGGAAGAGAGGGTCCTCCAGGAAGAGCGGGCGAGAAAGGAACCCTTGTAAGTCCTTCCCATTGTCAGAGCTGCCTGACCCGGGCACACGGCATGCCCAGAGGCCGGGCAGACTCTCTGGGCAGCGCCGCAGGCAGTGGAGAGGGCTCCTCGGAGGGCGTGGCCTCTGCCCGTCTGGAGTCGCTTGGCTGCTTGCCTCAGGAAGCCCTGCAGAGAGCGGTCCCTCACATCACCCAGTCTTGGCTAACTCCCGCGGCTGCCTGCCCCGAATGCTCCCCACTCTGGGAGGCTGGGTGTGGGCACTGGGGGGCGGTCCCCCACCTGCTCCTCCAGGGAAGGACGTAGCACAAACACCCACGGTGTCAGGGTCAGGGGAAGCCAGGATAGGGCTCTGCTTACTCCTCTTGTTTTTCTGTCTGTCTGATGTCACTGATGCCTTTACCACAGGGCAACGCAGGAGCCCCTGGACCCAAGGTACAAACCCATATCCTCCTGAGCTTTGTATGGGTGGAAGCGCCCCGCAGGGCCAGGGTGCATCAATAAGCTGCCATGCCTGGTGCTGACCACAGCCCCGCCCTGCCCATCCTGCCTGGCTGGGGTTGGCGTTTGTCCTGGGCAATTGCATTTTTTCTGAGTGCTGAGCAGTTATTGAGAGGAAGTGTGAGGCACCTGGATCTGGCAAGATTGCAAGGGAGCTCGCTGCCCGTGAGTGGCACTGTCCCCACCCCTGTGGGTCCCAGGTGGCAGCCTGCAGGCACGCAGGGCCTGGCCACCGCCTGGTGACCCCAGACCCTCTACCTAGCAGGGAGCCCTGAGCTGCCCACAGTCCAGGCTCTCCCAGGATCAGGCCCCAGCCCACCATAGGCCTTGGGGACAACACCAGCCCAGCTTCTCCTGGACCCCATGGGGGTCGGACCTTGTGAAGGACAAGCCTGAATGAGGACCCTCACTGATGACTTCCCTCAAAAGGTGCTGCAGCCCGGCTTTAGCTGAAGTCCAGGGCCAAGGCAGTGACTTTGCCTCTCCACCCTGCAGGGCAGCAAGGGAGACCCAGGCCCTGTGGGTGCTCCCGGGGAGAATGGCTTTACAGGAGCCCCTGGGCCCGCTGGACCCCCAGGACCCCCAGGACCCCCAGGACCTCCCGGGCCCCCTGGACAAGGATTCGCTGCGGGATTTGTGAGTGGCAGCACCTCTGGCCCCTGAGAACCCTGGCCTGTACCACAGCTCCTCCCTCAGCAGCTCTGGGTCAGGAGCAGTGGGTGCCACCCCTTGGCATGGGCTTTTCTTGTCTCCCGTGGGACCCCAGATCTGACCCTAGGTGGCTAGGCCAGCCCAGGTGCTGCCAGGGTCTTTGTGGACTACACAAACATATCTCTCACCACCCAGTCCTGTGAACCCTCTGCCTTCTTTAGGAAGGAACAGAGACTAGTGTCCCTGTCTCTGCAGGATGACATGGAAGGCTCTGGAGCCCCCTTCTGGTCAACAGCCCGAGGCTCCGCAGAGCTCCAGGTATCGCCCCCCCCCCCCGGAGGGGAGGACCAGAGAGGACAGCTGCTCGAGGGCTGAGAGCAAGAGCCCTGTGTCCTGGGTGGACACCAGCTGGGTTGGGCCTGGTCTCCAGGCAGGCACTGCACTAGCGACTCAGGGTCAGTAGACCTAGGGCACAGGGCCTGCAGGATGGGTCTTTCCAGAGAGCAGGATGTGGAAGTCTCCCTGTGGCTGCTGTGATCTGGGGAGGTAGTTGAGATTCAGCCTGAGCAGATTCTGAGTTAGGAGTAGGCCTTTTGTCCAGGCTCTGCCTAGGCCTATGCACTGCTCAGGGTCAGATGGGTAAGAAGGAATCCAATTCCACAGCATCCTGGCCATGGTCTAGGAGTGTGCAGATGCTCCGGGCCTCCCCCACTCCCCTACTGGGCCTCGCCAGCACTCACCTCCCCTGGCACCAGCCCCCTTGGAGCTCTGAGCACTGCCCTTTCCAGGACATGTGCTGACCTAGGTCTGGTGTGTGCTTGGTCCCAGCACTTGGCCTGTGGCTGTGAGGACGGGCCAGATTGTTTGTTCTGAGCTAAATGAGCAAGGGCTGTTAATTGGGTGGAAACAGGTTGGTGGCGAGCTAGGATGGCCTCACCATGGCACCAAGGGATCAAGGCACTATAGCATTTTCTTTCAGACATTTAAAATTCTTCCTGGAAGCCTGCAGGAGCTAGCCACCCTGGGAATCCAGGATGCTGTGTGTGGCTCTTGGTGGTTCAGTGCCCCAGTGAGGCCCATGAGCATCCGGCTACTTGAAGTCATGTAGGGCACTGTGTCTTAGTAAAGCAGGACACGGGTTTACTCCAGCCCTGTGTGGCAGGGGAGCCCTTGGTCACTGCAGTCTCTCCAGGGATGCCCAAATCTGTCCCTTCTGTGGGATCTAGGGGTCGCACCTTTGCAAAGTCCACACCTACTGCTTTTTAGGTCCATTGTGATGTTGGGAGGGGGTGGAATGGGCTCTGGGAGGGAACTGCGGGGAGGGGACCCTGACCCTGGGTATCTTCTGTCCACAGGGACCACCTGGCCTTCCAGGACTCAAGGTCAGTGAGTGGGCACAGCCTGTGTTGTGGGGTGGAGGAGTCCAGCTGCTCTGCCATGGGGGTGCTGCCCAGGCAGCCTGGGGTCTCTGTTCAGGAGAAGTGGGAATTGTGGTAGGAGATTAGTAAACAATAGAAAGCTTAGGGCAGCTGCTGATTCCACTCCTTTCCAAGGCTGTGAGACCGGGTTTCTGGTCTAGGCACCTGTGGAAAGGGGGCCTCAGCAGGGACCTTGAAGCCCACTCCAGCCCAGGCTCAGGCTCAGCAGCTGCAGGCTCTGGGGGACCCAGACCTTTGTCCTGGATCCTCTGACTGGGCTCTGGGCAGTGGCCCCCTCTCTGTGTGAGCTGGGCCAGGGCATACAGAGCACCTGGGGGGGTCACCACCCACCAGCCCCACTGCCCCGCCTGCTCCCGGACACTCTGCTTTGCACTGGGGATGCAGGAGATCGTGTGTCTGGGCTGTGCTGTGCCCTTCCTGTGTGGGGCCTCAGGCAAAGTTGCCATGGTCCAGTGTGTTGTCCAGAGTAGCAGGCTCTGTGCTTCTGGGGAGGTGGTACCCTGCTCAGCTGCCCATGTTGAGACCTTGTCAGCCCTGGGCTGGGGATCAGCCTGAGCTTGGGGTACCTGGGTGACACACCCCGCATCCTATGTGAAAGAGTGGGGGTAGTTGGCCCTGCCACACACTCACAGCCCTCTGTCCACGCAGGGAGATCCTGGTGTGCCTGGGCCTCCTGGAGACAAAGTGAGTCCCCTCCTTGGGTCAGGGAAACTGAGTCAGCTGAGGGTGGGAGGGCCCCCAGGAGGGACCCCAAAGCCTGACCCTCTGTACTTTGGTCAGTAAGGATGCTGGGCGTGGGGTGAGGGACATGGTGGACCTCTGCCAGCCCAGTTCTATCTCCCACCTCTCCTGGCCGTCTGTCGTCTGCCATGATTCTGTCATTTAACTTGAGCTCCTTTTAGTGACAGCAGTCCCTGCCCCACAGAGCACCACAAGGTGTCCCCAGGGACCTGGGATTTTAACCTGAAGGGAATGGATCAGTATCTGACTGCAGCATGAGCACCAGCAAGCCCTCTTGGCCAGGCTTCCTCCAGCTCTGCTACCCAAGTCTCCCCTTCGGGGAGTCTTCACCCTTCGGGTGAAGGCAAAACCACCGCCTGAGTGGTGGCTAGCATCCCACCCAAGGGCTGTGGGGCTTTCTCTGGGGGTCTCTATACTCTTGGTCTCATGGTGACACACAGACCCTCTGTCCCACTGTCTGCCCAGGGGGAAGTTGGAGCAGATGGCACCCGCGGGTTCCCTGGCCTCCCAGGCAGTGAAGGCCCAGCTGGGCCCATGGTGAGTAACCATAACTGGCGTGGGGTAGGCCAAGAGGATCCAGGCAGAACTGGCTAAGAGCTGGCCCTGGGACAACGCTGGGGTTCCCTGGAGCCTGAGTTCCTTGTCAGTGTCTTAGTCCGGGAGTTGAGGGTACACTGCGGTCCAGGGACTCGGCCTTTTGGGCCCAAGGCCTGAAGGCCTCTCTGCCTGAGGCTCCATTTCTGTATACAACAAGACATTTCCTTCTGCCACTGCAGGGACCCAAAGGAGAGAAAGGGAGTCCGGGAGAAAAAGTGAGTGTCCCAGGGGTAGGGTGCGGCTGGGGGGGGGGTCCCTGGCCCATGGGGTGGGGCTGAGGCACCCTGTACTTGGGTGCACACAAAGCCCCATAAGGCCTCAGGCTTGGGCAGGGTAGTTCTTGGGGCTCCAGGGCCATCTCAGCACCCTGGCTCTGGGAGCCCCACCCTAGGCCAGGGGCACTGGTACCAGGCCTGAGCGGCCTCAGAGTGGACACACAGCTTCCTCTTCCAGGGTGACCCAGGGAAGGACGGCGTGGGCCAGCCTGGCCTCCCCGGGCCCCCAGGACCCCCGGGCCCCGTGGTCTATGTGTCGGAACAGGACGTAAGGACACAAGTGGGGGCACTGGTGGCCTGAGCCAGTCCCTGAGGGTGTGTCCCAGGCCTGTATAGCTCTCAGAGGCTCTGTGCATCCCACTCACCCCCTGCCGTAGTGTAGTCCTGGCCTACCTGTGAACAGATGGGTTCTGTAGGCAAGGGCTGCCATCATGGGACCAAAGCCCTGAGGTTGGATGCTGAGCCTTGGGCCAGCAACTCAGATCCCTGCTGCCTGCGGTTGGCTCTGGGTAGGCCTGGGTGCCAGCTTGGACGCCATCCTGGCACTGCCTGCTGTGTGGCCACCATCTCAGTGCCTGGTATGCTTGTCTTTGAGATGCGGAGCACAGTAGTCCTGGAACGGGTTGGGAAGAAAGGCATGAACAGCCTGAAGCATGCCTGGCCAGGGTGCCATGCCTAGAGGTAAAAGGGCCTGAAAAGGTGGCAGGAGAAGCTGGGCACAGTGGTGCCTACCTCAGATCTCAGTACTCTGGCAGGCTGAGGCAGGGGCGTTACAAGTTGGGGCCCGGCATGTACAGTTTAAAAACTTACTGGTCCCTGCTTCAGAAGCTATAAAGAGATAGGCTGGTGCAGCACAAGGGCCCTGGGCTCCATGCCGGGACCACAGATGCAGCTAGAAGGAACCTGCAGCCCTAGTGGAGGCCGGGCCTGGCCCTCGGGACAGCCCAGCTGGGGGTGCCTCTTCAGGAGCTGCGCATCCAGCAGGCTCGAGGTAGACTGGAAGACACCACCCTCGGTCTGGGACAGGAGTGACATCCACCCCAGGCTGGGAGCTGGGACTCCCAGAGTGGCCACACTGTCCCCTGCGGGGTCTTGGTCCAAGCTCGGGAGGCCTGGGGACAGATATAGCCACACAGGAGGGCTGATTGGCAGTGTCTTCTTTCTCTCTTGCTTTCCCCTGGTGGCACAGCGAGCACTGGCCAGTGTGCCAGGTCCTGAGGTAGGTGCAGCTGCTGGGGGTGGCTGGGTCAGGATACCCCATTCCATCCTATCCCTGTCCCTGTCCAGAGCTGACGCTGTGCTTCTTCCTATAGGGCAGGCCGGGCTTTGCAGGCTTCCCTGTAAGTAGGCATGCCTTTGCCCTCGGCCATGGGGTCTTAGATGGGATAGTCCTGTCCTTAGGACACCATGACTATGGCAGGATGAGGGGCTCGGTCAGGACCCTGGGGCCAGCCCAGGACCAGGGAGTGAACCAGGCAGACTGGATGGGGTAGTCACTGGGCAGGGACATGTGTCATGGCCTCTCACTCCTGCCTGGTCTCCACCCCAGGGACCTGCTGGGCCAAAGGGCGACGAGGGCTCCAAAGGCGCACAGGGCTCCCCGGGACCCAAGGTGAGGGCTGGGGTGCTGCTTGCTGGGCTCACAGGGGCCAGGGACCAGAGGACTTGCAGTGGCCGTGCCCCATTTGTGACCCAAGGAACGGGCCCTGTGTGGCCAGGTGGCAGCTGTGGGGCAGGCATGGCCCCCACAAACCCTGACCATGTGTGGCCGACTGCCTGTGTCTTGCTGTGTCCTTTCTGGTCACCAGTGCCCACAGGAGGTCCTGACAGCCACTGATCCTCTGTTCTAGGGTGAGAAAGGGGAGCCAGGTGGCATCTTTGGCCCTGACAGCAGAGCCCTGGGTCCTGTGCAGAAGGGAGCCAAGGTGAGCTTCAGGGTGTCACTCAGGCCTTCAGGGTGTCACACAGCCTCTCCCTCTTGGCCTCTGAGACCTCCCTGCCTGGGTGCCTGGGCCCCTGGGGCTGCCTGAGGTCCCCATTCCTGTTGGTGGCACCCCCTGCAGGGAAGCAGGGGATGTAGTGGCCCTGCTCAGCCCTCCGCTGCCTTCCTTGCTGCAGCTGTGGCTTCCACAGGGCCCCCTGCCCTCCTCTGAGAGGGCACAGGTAGGGGCACTGGCAGGAGCCCAGATTCTGGGGAGCTCAGAGATCCAGGATTTGGGAAGTGGGCAGAGAGGTTCAAAGCCTGGAGATGGCTCCACGTCCTCTCTGACTCTAGCTTCACAACTGACTTAGGCTGGGTACCCAGTGGAACGATGCATAGGGCCCAGCCCGTGTGGTTAGGCCCTGGGCGTGACCTCAAGATGGTCGTCTTAATGTGTTCTGATTTCTGTGCAGGGTGAGCCTGGCTTCCGTGGACCCCCGGTGAGTCAGATCCCTGTGCTCTGGGCTGGGTTACCCAGGGACCTGCCTCACCTGAGGCACAGAGTGGCAGGAGGGTCCCCCACTTGCCTTCCTGCCCCGTGATGCCCCTCAGCTCCCCTTCCTCCCCACAGGGACCATATGGACGGCCTGGGCACAAGGGAGAAATCGGCTTTCCTGGACGGCCGGTGAGCACCAGGCCTCTGCTCAGGCACCGTGCCAGGGGCAGCAGGCTGGGCCTGGCAGGGCAGGGGCCAGGGCCACAAGGGGTGTCAGCATCCCTCCCCCCTCCTTCCCTGAGCACAGTTGTTGTGCCATGTGGCCAAGGGGGTCTGGGGGATGTGGGACTGGACTGAGTCCCACTGGGCCTGGCACCCCTCCCTGGAGTCCTCTAGAAAAGCAAGGGAGGAGGGTGGGGGTCCCTGAGGGCAGGCTGAACTGCAGCCTGGGGTAGCCCTGCCTGGACTAAGGGGAACCCACAGCTCCTTGTGCTCTGCCCAGGGTCGCCCTGGAATGAATGGGCTGAAGGGTGAGAAGGGGGAGCCTGGAGACGCCACCCTCGGATTTGGCATGAGGGTGAGTCCTGCGAGGTGGACAGGGTACCAGGACAGGGCAGCCTGGCTGTGACCCGTAACCCCACTCACCTGCCTGGTGCTGCAGAGGAGCCAGCGCTGTGAATGTACCATGCAGGGCACACACAGATGTGTATACACACACACACACACACACACACACACGTATACTCATAGGTGTTCCTGCATGTGGACACAATGTACTGCTACATGCACACTCCTGTGTGTACACTCTGCTGCAGGTGCACACCTGTACCCAAAGCCCACAGGCACAGGAGCCCATGTGGCTTCCCACGAGGGCACCCAGATAGCATACTCCAGCCAGCATGGATGCCTCTCTCTACTCACTGATGCCTCTCTCCGCTCCCTGGTGCCCCTCTGAGGCTGGTGGTCACAGCCGGAGTGGCCCCGCTGCTCCCCGGAGGGATGTGTGGAGGACTGTGCTGGTCTTGGGTGCCTGTGATCAGCATAATGTGCTTCTGACTTCCTGTGGTCATTGGCCTGGCTGGGACCCAGCCTGACCAGAGCTCTCTGTCACCACAGGGCATGCCTGGCCCCCCAGGACCTCCTGGCCCCCCCGGACCCCCTGGGACGCCTGTCTATGATAGCAACGTACGTCACCGTGGCACTGCACAGTGTCACTGTCCCCATGTCCTTTGGAGAAGCCACTGCTTTCCTCCCTCACTGACTGCATCTCAGCCTGGTGCCCTGGGATGGGCCTGGGGGGCATGGGAAGGCCATGAAGGCCTGGGAGGGCAGCTGGGCCTGGAGTCAGCTCCACGGGGGACAGCTGAGTGTCTGGACTGGGGCTGGTGGGTGGGGCCCCATGTTATCAGGCCTGGCTCTGGACCCCTTCCAATTCCATCCACCCCTCTGGGCAAGGGCTGGGGTGGGGGTGGGAGGTGGGGCACTGACCTCCGCTTCCAGGGCTCCACCCTTCAGCGGCCATCTGGGCCTTTCCTGGCAGGCATTCGTGGAGTCTAGTCGTCCTGGACCTCCAGGAGCACAAGGTAAGGGCTCTCATGGGGATGGTAGGGGGCTGGATGGGGTTGAGGCTCCATGGGGACTGATTCCCTTCCCAGGGACATGGAGAGAGCGCCCCACTCCTGGCACCCTGGGGCCATGCCCTCTGCCCACCTTGCCCTGGTTGCCCCAGGCCTCCTGTTCCAGCCCTGCCTTGGCTTTGTCCTGCCCTGCTCTGCCCACAGATCAGGCTCTGCCCGCCCTGTGCTGTGCCTCCCCTCCTTCCCGCCATGCACAAGCAGTGTGAGCATCCCTTCCCAGGCTCTGCAGTGACACAGTGTCCCTGTTCCCCCAGGGTTGCCAGGGCCTTCTGGGCCCAAGGGTGACAAAGGAGATGTTGGTCAGCCTGGACCACCAGGTGAGCACTGCCTAATGTGCCCCAGGCCGGGGCGTGGTGGACAGGGACCCCGGGGCCTGGGCAGGTCTGGGGCACTGCTGCCTGTGGTCACGTCTCACCCTCCATGAGTGGAGAAAAGAGAGCCTACCAGCACGCGGTTGGGAGGCGGGCGGAGGCCGCCACATGGGCCTTCCAAGGATGCAGCACCTGGCACGTTGGGGCCTCCCAGAGGTTAGCCCCAAGGAGTGAGACTCAGACCACCGTTCTGGGGTCCTTCTGGCTTGCCCACAACACACCAGCCTGTGCGCCCGCAGGCAAAGCCCAGAGCCTGGGTCCTGATGTAGACGAGGTAACCTCTGGCCCTGATGACATACCAGTGCCATGTCCCCGGGGATCTGAAGCCATCAGCTCAGTGCCTCCTCAGGGAACTGCAGGCTGTAGCCTTGGGGCATAGCCAGAGCTGCGGCTGTCCCTCTTTGGGGTTTTCTGGACTATAAGGCGCCCCCAAAGTCATAGTCCATCGGGACTGACACTGAGGGGAAAGGGCTCTGAAGAGGGCTGGAGACAGCAGGGCCGGAGGGGAGGAGTGGCTGACAGCTTTGCAGTGACAGATCCTACCCCAAAGGGTCTGGGGACCACAAAAAGCGTCAGCACTGACACAGACTCACTTGTCAGGGGCAGTTTAGAAATATTGGTGATGAGACACAGCCAGCCAAGGTGAAAACATGGACCATGGGGAATGAGCAGGGCGAGACACAGGGGCAGGGAGCCCTAGTGTTGGGGTGCGGGCCCCTGAGCCCGTGTTCCCAGATTGACCTCATGCTCCTGTCCACAGGGAAGTTCCCCTTGGACCTGTTCCACCTGGGAGCTGAAATGAAGGTAGGTGATGTTCCTGGGGCTGGGGTCCCCATGAGGCTGAGCACACAGCCAGCTTGTGACCCCTTCTTCCACAGGGTGAGAAAGGGGAGCGTGGGGACGCCGGACAGAAGGGCGAGCGGGGAGCACCTGGGGCCAGCAGCGGCTTCTTTGGCTCCAGTGTGCCTGGCCCCCCTGGGCCGCCAGGGTACCCTGGGATTCCGGTAAGCCTGGCATGGAAGCCCACCCAGGCCCTATGTTCTTTGCCTGTATGCAGGGCATGTGGCGGCACCATGGAGCTGGCATGGCCTCCTGAGGGGCACAGCTCCCTACTGGCGTCTCATACTGTCGTCCTGGTGCCATGGCCCTATCTGTCACTGTCCTCATCCATCACCATCCCCGCTCTGAACCATCTGCCCAAGGGCTCCAGGTCCTAGCTGCTGTCCTGAGGGCCCCAGGGGTCAGGGAGTGACGGGTTTGCTGTCGTCCTAGGGTCCCAAGGGAGAGAGCATCCGGGGCCCGCCTGGCCCACCTGGCCCTCAGGGACCTCCTGGCATTGGCTATGAGGGGCGCCAGGGCCCCCCTGGCCCTCCTGGGCCCCCTGGGCCCCCCTCATTTCCTGGCCCACATAGGCAGAGTAAGTGTGGGGTAGGCAGTGGGGGTGGCTGGGCACAGCCTTGTCCCCAGGCTGCCATCGTAGCCCATGGCGTCTTGGTTTCTCTCCTGTAGCTATCAGCATTCCTGGACCTCCTGGTCCTCCTGGGCCCCCAGGACCCCCAGGGGCCATGGGCACCTCTTCAGGGGTAAGTGTCCAGGTGGCCAGAGGAAGACTGGGGGATCCGGGGAGGAGGGCGGCCTGCTGCTGTGAGAGTCCTGGTTTGGTATGCAGGGGGTGGCAGGCTGGGGCTCAGGAAGGGTTCCCCACCATGTGGCCACAGTCCCCACCCACCCTGGGCCCAGGCCCTGCTGCCTGCTGTCCCTGGCACAGGACCCACAAGTCTTGGCCCTGCAGGTGAGGGCCTGGACCACCTACGAGGCCATGCTGGAGAAGGTGCGTGAGGTGCCCGAGGGCTGGCTCATCTTCGTAGCTGAGGACGAGGAGCTCTACGTCCGCGTCCGCAATGGGGTCCGCAAGGTCCTGGTGAGTTCTCGGGGCCATGGCCCCTTCTCGCCACCCACAAGGATGAAGCAGGTGTCTCCTAGCACTCGACTCCTTCCTGGGTTCTCAAAAAGTTAGCACCTGTGTTTTGGGCAGTTCCAGGCTCACGAGTATGTTTTCCTCCTGATAAACACTGCAGCTGGATTGCAGGTGGCTCAGAGGGCAGAGCACAGACAGAGGGCCCCATGCCAGGGCCAGATAAGGCCGTCCTGCAGGACAGGCCCAGGGCTACCCTGCAGAGGGACAGGACTCACCTGCAGGCCCAGGAGGTGAGGGCCAAGCTCGATTTCACAGCGATGTACTGGAAACATGGGGGATGCAGGGAGGCTGCTCAGATGTGCTCCACAAGCTTGGCCTGCAGGCCTGGCTCCTTTACCCAGGCCCTGTCTGGAAGGCGAGGCCCACCTCCCTCGTCTTCTGGGAACCAGCGCCCTGCTCTGATGGGGCCAGGACAGGCGTCTCCTTGGCGTGGCCCATGTAAGGCCTGGCAAAGCCAGCCCTGTGCCCCAAATAGCCTGGGACTTCCACACTGAGGGGTGGCGTTGATAGCCTTGAGGGCAGAAGACAGGCCGTGGCGTCATGGCCTATCGTCATGCCGTCTGTGCTCCTGACACTGGCACTGGAGCCCAGCCCTCCTGGCCCTCTGTCAGGGTGCCACATGGGGGCCAAGCCTACTGCCACCCTCAGACCAGCTGGAGTAACCTGCTGCTTCCTTCCAGCTGGAGGCCCGGATGCCGCTCCCGCCTGAGACGGTAAGGAAGGAATGGACCATACGGTGCCGGCAGATGGGGACAGTGCTCCCAGAACAAGGCTTGGTGCTTGGGGCCTGTGACTGCAGTGGTCCCCACTGGGTTTCCCCAGTTGGGCTGGAGGGTCCCCCTGGGCATCACAACCCCACCCCATCCCTTCTCTTCAGTGGCTGCTGCTCGCCACCCTCCTTGGGACAAGACAGCTGTCCCGGGCCAAACCCATGTCTCCTGTGCCTCTGCTTCCGTTGCCCACATATCAGCAATGGAAAGAGGGACAGGGTGGAGAGTAGACAGGAAGCTGCATGCATAGCTGGGTGGCGGGTGGATGGATAGATGGACAGGGGACTAGGTAAAGGTGGGTGGGGGACAGGTAGATAAACAGGTGGTGGATGCATGGGTGGACAGATAGATGATCAAGGTTGCTGGACAGATAGGTAGATGGATGGGTAGATGGGTAGATGGATGAAGACTGACTGACAGGTAGACAGACAAACAGATGGGTGGACAGGTAAGTCTAGGGGCAGGGCTGTGTGGTAGGGGCACTTGGGTTTTCCTGGGTGTTGAGCCTGAGCAGAGTCCTGGCTGAAGTTCCGGTGGGCCTGTGCTCTGCAGCATGCTGGGGACTCTGGGGTATCCTGCCTGCACGTGGGGCCGAGCGACTGTTTTCTCGGTCTCTTGCTGATTGGTTTGTTCATTCATTCATCAAATGGTCGTGCCCCACTAGGGCTGGGGTGAAACAATTGATGCCTGCCCAGTGGGGGTGGTATGGGGTGGCAGTGGGGAGGTGCGGGTGCATCTGTGAAGCATTTGCTAGGAGGCGGGGGTAGGCAGGGAGTCCAGAGCAGGCACAGTGGGGTGGAGCCCGGACACTGAAGGTGGAACCCGGAGTCCATGCTGTGGGGGCTGAGGACAGTGTGCAGCCCTCAGGGCCAGGACAGGGAAGCAGGGGGTGGCATAGGGCCAGAGACCGCAATCTGCGAGGACCACGGTCTGATGTGGTGGCCTCACAGAGGGCGAGACCCCAATCCAGCATGAGGGGGAGTGCATTCCCTTCGCACTCCCAGGAAAATGCTGCCTGCCACGCAGGGCCCGGCCTGGCTGCCCCAGGGCAGAGCAGAGGTGGGAGGTGGAGTGGGCAGCAGCAGCTGGGTTATGGTGTAGGTCTCCTGTCCATGGTATTGTCCTCCACCACAGGACAATGAGGTGGCTGCCCTGCAGCCCCCACTGGTGCAGTTGCATGAGGGCGGTCCATACCCACGGCGGGAGCACTCCTACTCTACCGCACGGCCCTGGCGGGCAGATGACATCCTGGCCAGCCCCCCACGCCTGCCAGACCCCCGGCCCTATCCCGGAGTCCCACACCACCATGGCGCCTATGTACATCTTAGGCCAACCAGCCCAACAGGCTCAGCAGCTCACTCCCACCAGGACTTCCAGCCAGTGGTGAGCATCCAGGGTGGGCTAGACCTGCCCCTTGGTCCCTGGGCTGCGTGCAGGTCAAGACCCTGACTGCTCAGGGCTGCCCCTGGTAGGTGTCATCTGGGCCTGGGTGGCCCTCTGGTGGCCAAGTGGCCATCTGCAAATTGAGACAACTTGGAGGTACAGAGGAGATAGCGCTGGGCTGGGAGCCTTGAGCCTGTCCTGCTAGCAAGGCCAGCATAGCTGGGGGTGGGTGATTTGCTGTACCCAGAGGGCCACATGGGTCACTTCCTGGGCCTGCCACTTTCTGGGCCTGCAGCACTGAGGCGTCTGCCCCCTGGGAGCTGTCACCAGGTCCTTGAGCACCTGTTCTTTAGCAGGAGGCTGTTGCCTATGAAAGGTATGTGATGGGCATGTCCTCTCCCCACAGCTCCACCTGGTGGCACTCAACAGCCCACTGCCAGGTGGCATGCGTGGCATCCGTGGGGCCGACTTCCAGTGCTTCCAGCAGGCGCGAGCCGTGGGGCTGAGCGGCACCTTCCGAGCCTTCCTCTCCTCCCGGCTGCAGGACCTCTACAGCATTGTACGGCGTGCGGACCGAGGGGCCGTGCCCATTGTCAACCTCAGGGTGCGTGGCCTGGCCATTGGCACGGTGCTGGAGGTGTCCTCAGACACATCAGGGATTGGGCATGGGTGTGAGTTCCAGGGAGTCCCTTGTTCAGGGCCCAGAGCTCACGAGGTTCTGCTGCCATCGCCTACTAGAGCTGGGAGTGTCTGGGAGGGTGTCAGGCCTGTGGGCTGCCATGCCCTGGAGAGACAGGCAAAGCCCTATGCTAGAAGTCACTGCTATCCCAGGATGTCCCATCAAGCCCTGTGTAGCCTAGACCCCTGCCCCTCACAGTGCCCTTGGGAGCCCTGCTACTGGTTATGAATGTTCCCAGCAGCTCTTGTGCTCTGGTTGTATGGTAGGCCAGGACTCCAAAGGACGTCCAACTGCACAGGTGACCGACTCTCCCACGCGGGGCTCAGGGAACATCCATGGGCCAGTGGACCTGGCATATGCACCTTATCCATGGCTCCTGTCCACTAATGGGGAAAGGGGTCCCCTTGGTTTTTTGTTTTCTGAGACCAAGTTCCACTGTGGACAGCAGGCTGGCCTGAAACTGTAGCTCAGCCTGGCTTGGAACTCGCAGTCCCATCCTCTTGAGTGCTGGTTTACAGGGGCGAACCACCACAGCTCCAGTGTCCCCCAGAACCAACAACAGGGCACACAGAAACCTGGGGTCCAGGCTGGGACTGGCACCAGGGTAGAAGAGTGGTCCTCCCCTCATAGCAGCACTGGGGGCTCTCAGGGACAATGGGACTCAGCTGTCTGGGCAGTGCAAGCCCTGTCTTCCCTTTGCAGGATGAGGTGCTGTCTCCCAGCTGGGAAGCCCTGTTCTCGGGCTCCCAGGGCCAGCTGAAGCCTGGGGCCCGCATCTTCTCTTTTGATGGCAGAGATGTCCTGAGACACCCGGCCTGGTAGGTGCCCAGTGGGGACAGCACAGCAGCTCAGGGACGGCCCCACACAGAGGGGTGACCTGACTTCCCATGTGTCACCTCCAACTCGTGGGCCTGAAGTGTCCACACTGAGGCCTGAGCCAGAAGGCATGGCTCTGGGGTGCTCTTGCACTTCCTGCCCATGCTGTTGGGCAGCTATCCTCACTGTTCATCTGTGACGATTTCCCCAGCCCAGCCCACCCTAAGCCATGTGGGGAGTCCCTGGACCTGTGGAGTCCTTGGGTGGGAGCGGCCAGACTGCCCTCGAAAACGGTTCCCTATTTCTGTCCCTGCTGGTGTGATGACATCTCTGCCCCCCCCCTTCTGAAAAGTGTCACTTGCAGTTGCTGAAAGGTCTCCATGTGAGAGCTATAGGCAGGTGGGGCCTGTCCCCTGGTTCATGGGCTGATAGCATGCCACCATCGTGCAGGCCCCAAAAGAACGTGTGGCACGGCTCTGACCCCAGCGGGCGCCGGCTGACCGAGAGCTACTGTGAGGCGTGGCGGACAGAGGCAGTGGCAGCCACAGGCCAGGCTTCTTCACTGCTGTCCGGCAGGCTGCTGGAGCAGAGTGCCTCGAGCTGCCGCAAAGCCTACATCGTGCTCTGCATCGAGAACAGTTTCATGATGCCCTCCAAGTAGGGCCCTGTGCTGGACAGAAGTGGCCTGAGGACAGCACCGGCAGGGAGCAGCCACCGGCCTAGAGCCTCCAAGATGCTTTCCTGTGTAGTTCACATTTCATGTAATCCTCGAAAAATAAAAGGAAGCCAAAGAGTGTATTTTCATAAAAGTTTAGAGCACATGATGCCAGTACATCCCTGCTCCTGCTTTCCCTGCCATGCTGGCCTGCTGTGACATGTGCAGCCTCTGTGCCTAGGGCCATGTCAGCCCACAGCTGGACTTCAGCAGAAGGCCACCCCAGGACATATGGCTGAGACAGGCCTGTGCCCTGGCTCAAGGGCCTACCAATGAAGGAAGGGCCTGGCACCCTCACGAGTTGTGGTTTCCTGCTTGGTTCCTTTCTGCCCAGAGACGCCACAGAAGGTGCTGCAGGCCAAGTCCAGTCTGCACAGAGCCCCCGGTAATGCTGGGCACACATGGCCGCCCTGCTTGGCCTCCACTGCTGCAAAGACCCGGTGCCCACGGGAGCAGGGTTCCACCTCAGCACCCACCCAGCCCAGGCTGTGCCCAGGGATGGGTGAGGCCTGCTGTGGCTTGCCCACTGCTTCTCCTTCTAGCCTTGTCAGGCCTCTCCTCAAGCTTGTATCTCAGGTGACTCCGCTGTGAGGAGAGGTCTGTGGGTGATCAGTCAGGCCATGGCAGTGCCCTGTGCCCAGCCTTTGGCCTGCAAGTCCAGAAGCCCAGAGCATCTGCCACAGGGGCTGCCTGCGTGGCCACCTGGGCTGACTATGGCTGCTGCTACCACCCTTGGGATCTGGGATGTGGTGAGGACTGGGCGAAACCAGTGGGGCTGGTTCTATGTGGTATGGACTGTTTCAAAAGGACACAAATAAAAACTTTTTACATGGACATTTGGTTGGTAAGCAGCGTTCCCCATCACAGAAGGGCAGAATCAACCTCTGAAGCCCCCTGCGCCTGGGTTTCCTGGTGGATGTTGGGAGAGCTCAGATGTGGGTGCGTATGGCTGGACCTCATGAGTGTGCAGGACACAGGTATGTGTGGTGTCCAAGTGTACATATACACCTGCATGTGACGGTGTGCAGATGTACCCTGGGGCAGCACGCAGCCCTGGTGGCTAGCTTTCCTCGCCTGGGGCTAGGCCAGTACCGATGTTCCTTATACAGGTGCAGATGTTGGCAGGCAGGGTGTGCCCCAAGGTACAGGGTGTGGCTGAGGCCTGGTCAGGGCCAGAGAAGCCACCTGCCCTGGTGATGGCAGAGGACTCACCCCCTTCCCAGTAGGACCCCAGGTGGCTGTGCTTGGGGCCTGCTTATGCAGCCTCACCAGAGACCAGAGATGCCCGCTGCCAACATGGACCCTAGAGTCCCTCCCTAGCCATGCACCCTGGTCTTCCTGTGCTGAGCCCTCTCTAAGCAGGTGGCTTACTCTCCCGGGGCCGCCCCAAGGGCAGAGGGACCACATTCTTGGCCCAACCAACTGTAGCCCATGCTGACCAGGCTTGGCAGCTAGAATCAGAGCTTGTCCAACACACAGGTTCACCGTGTTTAATTCACTTGTCTGAGACAAGCGTTCAACACTGGAATGCACAGGGCTTGCCGCCGAAAGCACGCCCCTGGGAAGGTGCCCACCCCAAGGCCCTATGCTCTAGGCCAGCCTAGCTCAGTTTGCAACCATGTTCCTGGCCCCATGGGCCATAAGCCCCTCTTCCACACAGGGCAAAAACAGGGAGCCACACTGAGGGGCCCAGGTCAGCGAGGCTGGAGCTTCTTCCATCCCCCTCCAGGCAGCTTCTCACACACATCAGAGAAGCCAGACAAGCTCATTCATACGAGCTCTCTTAAAAAAGAAGTACCATCCGAACACGCAAGCACCTCAAACATACAAGCACCTCAAACCACAAGCACTGATAAACACAGATTGGGGATGGACAGCTCCCACCTGCTCTGGAGGCCCGGGACCCTGGGGACAGATTAGAATCTTCAGTTACCCAGGCCCTAGTGAAGGGCACCCTTAAGCCTGGGGACAGTGATCTTGACTCAGGCTGGTCACTTTGTCAGCCCCTGGAGACAGACTGGTCTCCAACCCCCTCGGGGTGAAGGCAAAGTCCTGGAGGACGGGGGATTCTATCCCCTATAAAACAAAGGCAGCCTAGGCCCACTTTGTGGCATGGACCTGTCGACCAGGTGGCTGCCCAGAGCGTCCCCAGCAGGGTCCAGCCACCCGAGTGAAACGCAGAGCTAAGGGGCTCAACAGCTGCCAGCAGCAAGGGCCCTTTGGCTAAGACAGGTGGGCCTCGAGTTCGGGCCCCTGTAGGACCACAGAAAGTCAAGTGTCACTGTTTGCGTCCTGAGAGCTGGGGTGCCAATGATCTGGCTGGACATGGGCCTGGGCCACCAGCCTGGGCTGGGTCGGGACGGCAGATGGGAACTGCCTCGCTTGGGAATCGTTTCACCTGCTGGCTGAGGCAAAGCAGGCTGGGGATCAGGCCTTGGCCTTGGCCCCTGTGGGCCCTAAGCTGTCCTCCACACCATCCTCAGTGGGTAGCGGCAGAATTGAGAGCTGCAGGTCACCCAGGTCGCCGTCCTGCACACTCAGCATGTGCACAGCCTTCTCCTCTGAGGGACTCTGCAACTCCTGGACCATGGGCAGGGGCTGGTGGCAGCTCTGTCGGATGTGACGCAGGACATCCAGCAGGCCCCCCAGGAAGTAGACTACGGTCAGCACCAGGAAGTACGCGAAGTAGACTCGAAACTGGAACAAAGAGGTGCAGGTGAGCAAGGCTGGAGCAGGGGGGCAGGTGTAGGAGAGTGGGGTTGGAGGGGGGGGGACATGGGAGAGGACACAGGCTCAGGCTGTCCCCACCTAATACCCTCAGTCCAGGACACCCCCAGCCAGCCAGCTCCAGTTCCATCAAGCACCGCATAGGGTCACAGGCCATGGAAGCAGGTCCCACAGCAGCTTCCCCCTCCTGCCTTCTACCACCTGGGGAGCCCTGACGGACTTCTGCCCTCCAGGGAATCCAAGGGGACCCTGGCATATGTCCTGACCTGGACAGTCCCACAGCTATGCCCAACTCCACTTCTATGGGGCTGTGTTCCCTAGGAGACCCCTTAGCCCACATCCCAGGGTGCCAGAAGTTTCCGGTCATTGCTTGGCAGAGGGCACAACAGGCAGCCTGCAGGGAGCCTGCGCAGAAGCTACACAATTCTGATGGGCAGCCAGCTCAATTGGGGACACTTCTCCTTGTCCCTGGAGTGCCCAGGGCAGGAGGGGTTGGTTCATTCTCAGACACAGGGAGGACTGAATTATGTAACAGATGCCACAGAGCCCAGGAAGCAATGGCCTTGATGCCACCAGCAATCTTCCAGAAAGCTCATTCTGGTGCCACCTATGAAAAGAACCTCCCAGGGGCTGGAGGTTTAGCTTAGCGGCATAAGCACCTGCCTTGCAAGCAGGCAGTCATGAGTTCGATCCCTGGTACCGATAAAAAGGAAAAAGACAAAAAAAAAAACAAAAAAAAAAAAAAAAAAAAAAAAAGAGAGAGAAAAGAACCTCCCAGGACTACATTCCCGTATAGGTGCGGTAGGTGTGACTCCCTGATTGTCCCCATGGTGAACCAAACCCCAGGACACTGCAGGACGTGGTGCACATATGAGGCCTCAGGACTCCAGGAGCACATGACGAGCGAGCTCCACAGTTTTTCTTTTTGAAACTACAGAAGCCAGCAGCCTAATGAAGCCGAAAAACAGAAACAGAGTCCAACACAGTGCCAGCCAGAGGACCAGGATAGGTGGCCCTCAGACAAGGAGCCAAGCCTGCCCTGTGCAATAGGTTGGTGGAAGAACCCAGCGTCCCCACCTGGTGGGGTAAGGAGCCACTTCTCCGGTGGGGTGATAATGACCCCACTCTGACTCACCAACTCGGCAGAGATTGCAAAGGGTGGCTGAGATTGTTCCCCCAGCCCGGGTGTCAAGGAGACCTGGGGCCTGGCCCACCCAGCAGTAAGGACAATGTTCCACCCCAACAGCATCAGGAGCCAGGAGGGGAGTTGGCCCGCCAGCCCCTCCTAGCCACGTGTCACCTGGTCCAGGGGACCTGCTCCTACATGCCCGGCTGTAATGAGACACAACCCTCCCACCGCAAGACTGGAGCAGGGTCAGGAGATGGCTCAAGTGGGGTTCAGAGTCTCACACTTAAGTGTTTCCTAGACCCCAAGATGGAGACAACAGCTGTTCCAACCAATTAGACAGATTCAAAGCAGCCACCACCAGATGCAGTAGCAAGCATACAGGGGAGAAATGGAAACACAGTCTCCACAAAGGTTAGAGAGGAGGGACAAGAGAAGGCAGGAGAAGAGAGACTAGGAGAATCTGGCACCAGCAGACCTACTTCAAATTGCAGCAGCAGCAGCAGCAGCAGCAGCATTCTGAAGAGAAAAGAAAAGGTCCAACAAGGCACTGAAACGAAGTGGGCAAAGTAGGGCAGAGCACCTTGTCTTGAGTTTTCTAAGTTATGTCTGATATTAAAGCAAAATTATGTGGTTCTCATGGCAAGTGGGGGAAATACCAAGACGCTTACATTACAATAAGAGTACAAGCGACACAGGAAAAGGCTGTTTTTACACCTCGCACACTGCTGGCATCCCCAGAGGCAGCCACCCAGATGTCACACTTAGAAACACGAGAGACAGACCCAAGTGAAATCCTACAGAATATGCAAGGAACCCATTAAAAAAGTGAAAAAAGGAAACAGAACTAAAAACAGACTAAGGAAAAATGAAAACTGAAATGTAAGGCTCCAACATGTGAGGCTGTACCTGAAACACAAATGGTCCAAACACCAAAGCAGAGGCAGAGGCCGGCAGAATGGGAGAAAAGCAGGAATCAGCTACGAGAAATTCTCTTGAATACTTGCAGATGGCAGGTTGCGAGAGAAAGAGCAGAGGGCAGAGGTGAAGATGCCAGGGAAGGTAGGCAATGAGGGGAACAAGGACAGAGATGGGTGCGGTAAAGGGATGGGTCAGTTCGGCAAGACGTGCACACGCATGAGGCTGTAGTCACCAGACTGTGCTGGGCTGCACCTCTGAGGTCCCCAAGTATCAACAGAGCATGAAGACCACAATCACAATCCCTGCCAGGTGCAACCTGGGCTCCGGGACAAAGGGCTCCTCCAGGCCAGCAGAGGGAGTGATCCAGCCACAGGCTGGGGAGTCAGGAGCAGCCCAGCCATCACCCGTTTGGGTGTCTATGCCTGGCTAACTCCAGATGGGCCTAGAGAGCTTGTGCTGCCAGACACCAGGAGTTGATGTGCGAGGCCCTGCATGGCTCAGGGCCGAGTTGCTAAGTTCCCCTCGGAAATACCAGTGGCCAGCTCACGAGGCAGAGCTTTGGTGCTCTGCTTGGCTTCCTCTATACAGAAACTTGCTCCTGTCCCTCAACCAGGGGGATAGGAAGCCCATCTGGCCCTGACAACCACAGGTAGAGATGACAGAGGGCAGGGCTGTTACAACTCCAGTCTGGTGACACAGGCAAGTGCAGGGCCAGGCAGCCAGGTGAGGGGCCCTCTTTTCTCTGGCCCTGGAGGTTCGGGGTCTCACTGCAGACAGAACAACCTGGGTTGAGCAGAGAGCTGCTGAGATGGGTGCCTGAGACTGTCATCCTCCACAGACTGGAGGTGCTGGAGCAGTGTACTTCAGGTGAGAGACTCCCCTAGACCTTCTTAAGATCCTGCTCCAACATGGCCCCACCAGCCATGGGGACGGGATTTGGGCCCCTGAGAGGGTCTAAGTGAACACAGAAGGCTCTGCCAAGATTGTAGGATGCTTTCCTCTGAAAGAAGCAAGTCTGACCCAGGTTCACCTGTGAGCGGACATCGAGGAACAGACCACGCTTGTCGGACACCACCAGTGTGATACAGGTCTTCAGAACGGTGGCCAGGAATGTGTTGATCCCAAAGACCAATGCACACAGCTCTTTACACATGGAAGATGCAATCCGGAAACTAGCAAGAAAACCAAGCAGTGATCAGACTTGCTGGGGTAGTGACAGGGGCAAGGGTCTGGTTAAAATCTAGCTGCGTAGACTGGTACGGAGGAACCTGCTGGAGCAGGCAGTGTTTCCCCAGGGTGCACAGTCCCATGCCCAGCACACTGCAAGCTCGGGCAAGGCCCTCCCCAGGCCCACAGCCCCAGCTCTAGCCCCAGTGAGATACAGCTCTCCAAGCTCCACCCTGCAGTCCCTCAGCCCCCTCCCCTCCCTATAGCAGTTCCTAGATGCAGCTGCCTGGGACTCCCCACCCAGCACCTGCGGGGAATGTGGCCCCTCCAGCAGCAGAATGGGTGCTACAAGTGAAGAAGATGCCTGGAGAGCCAGCAACAGAATGCTCTGGAAATCCTCCCGAGAATGGGATGTGAGGAAGGTCGGCCACAGAAGAAGTGTGCATTAGAAGTGTGTGCAAGAAGCAGGGCGATGGGGCGCATCACAGAAAAGGCAAAGGCACAGGAGAGGTAGTCCCTGGAGCCTGGGTTAGGTCCAGGCTTCCCACACCGGGGACAGAGAATTAGGGCACTGGACAGTCCCAGCAAGGTCAGGCTGCACCGGGGAAGGGGATGAGTGCCAAGATCATGAGCAGAAGGCTGGACGAGAGGAGGTGGGCAAAGTTCTCCAGGAGGGAAGGAGGTAAGTAGCAGGGAAGGCTAATGCCTGTGCATATATGGTGGATATGTGTATAATCTGTGCTCTGTGTGGAGTCTATGGTGTGCACAGTGCCCATATTGGGGTGTGTGTACACATATTCGTGCATGTGTATATTATGGTGTGAGCATGAGTGTATGTGGGGGCTGAATGTGCACAAGTGAGCACACAGTACATGTGCACAGAGCATACATGGTATGTGGGGGGCAGGTGTATGTATGGTGCAGCATGTATGTATGTGAGTGTGTTGTACATGCATGTTTATGCGTTCCGTGGTATGTGCATGTGTGATCAAGGAGGGCACATGGCTCACATGCCAAGGCCCAGGCAATGTGCTAGGAACAGAGGCAAGGGCATCCAGCAAGAAGCCTCCTGTGAAGCTACCCATGCAGCCCCTTCTGGAAGTGCCTCCCACCTGCTCACTCACGTAGCAATGGGCACAAGAAACTGATAGGCTCCACGGAACACCATGAAGGCAGCATAGCAAATCCAGATGTTTTGGGTATTGTATAGGAGAAAGATCAGCCCGGCCTGCACAGCAGTCACAGCTGCGATGACCAGCTTCGACCACAGGGCCCAGCGGATCTTCAGGAAGCCCGCGGCGAAAGACATGATGGCGCCTGGGAACAGGGTGTGTCAGGAGGGCCAGAGTGGGGGACTGTGGCGTGAAAGTGCAGCCCATGCCGGGGCCCAGGGCAGGGAAGGGGTCAGGCTGGGCACAGGCGTCACCGTACCCAGCAGAGTGGAGGCAGCGTCGGCTGCGCCATTGTAGACACGGGTTCTGTCAATAGTGGGGTACACCACATTCCACAGGATGTGAACGTAGTAGACGATCAGGTAGTAGCCAGCCGAGTTGAAGATCCACCACAGGCACCAGAGGTAGAGCTGCGGCAGCTGCAGGCTGGTGCCCACCTCGTGCAGCATGCGCACCAGGAAGGACTCCCTGCAGGAGCGCAGCAGGCGCCCCATCTTCCCTTGGGGTTCCAGATGGCCCACACTGGGGTGCATCTGGTCCAGCTCATAGGGCAAGGCCCCCCGCACATGCGTGCTGCGGTTGAAGAAGAGGCTACGCTTGGGGTGCTTCAGGAAGAGGGCGAGGCCCAGGCTGAAGATGAGGAAGCCCAGGGAGATGTAGTTGAGCACAGTGAAGGACACGCGGCCCACCGTGACCAGAAGCTGGCCCAACACCGAGCTGGTGAAGACGCCCAGCAGCACGGCGGCCCGGGAATAGCTGGCCATGCGCTGGTAGCGGGCGGGGCACACCAGTGAGAAGATGTAGGAGGAGTAGGCGATGCGGGAAGCCATGGTGACACTGTAGAAGGCCTCCATGAGCTGCATGTGCAGCACCGACCTGCCGAAGAGCAGCAGCAGCCACACACACACGTAGCTCAGGCCCTGCAGCAGCAGCACTGGCTTGTAGCGCAGGTAGTCGGTGATCAGGAAGATGGGCACTAACACCACCAGGTAGGAGTAGGTCAGCACTGGCATGATCTCGTTGGTCACCTGTAGATGGGGGTGCCCCGCCTTAGCAATGCTAGTCACTGTGAGTACCTGCATTGAGCCTTGGGGGCCACCCTGCCCCAGGGTCCATCATCCCAGCTGACCACTCTACCATCCTCCTCCTGCCCTTTTGTCATACCATATAGGTCTTGTGACCTCCCCCTCACTCTCTCATCCCGTCATCAGGGAATGGGCAGTGACCCAGCCCCAGGAACCACTGACCCCATGCAGTCAGAAGGAGAAAGTAGTTGCTGGCGGTTATGCAGGGAAAAACCATGGTTCTCGCAGCTTAGATCATGCTGATCCAGGCTGTCTTCTTTGAAATGGACTAGATTTGTGTCCTGATGTAACAATGTGGGGACAGTGCCGTGGCCAGGAGACATCAGCAGAACTACCTCTGTCCCTTAGGAAAGGGAGGGGAAAGGCAAAGGGAGAAGAGGGAGCACTTGGGACAGGACCTTCCCTCAGAGGAAGGAGACCAAGAGCAAAGGAGGGCAGAGCAGTAAGAACAGCGAGGGGGCCATAGCTCTGCAGTGCTCCCAAGTCCCCACAGGGGTCTTTACAGCAGTCTGTCCCAGGAAACAGGAAGTGGCTAAGGCCTTCTGCCAATTATGCTGCCTGCTGGGGAAACCAGGGTGGAAGGAGGCCATCACTATGCCCCACCCCACCCTACCTGGCAGAACCAGAGGGCAGTGTCCATGGGAACTTAATACCACAGCCCTGGCCAGGACAGTAGCTGCTGGGATCCCTGGGCCGTTACTGCTCACCTTTCTAGAGATACAGAGGCGCTGCCCCAGCCTCTACCTGAGGGCTCAGCCTTAGGTACTCTGTGGAGGTCCCTCCCCACAAGAAGCCCAGATGACTGCTTTGTCTCTCCTGGAGGCCAGACATGAGGGCTATCCTGTGTCTACAGTCTCCTCCAAGAGCAGCCCCAAAAGGTAGAGCCCAAAGGCTCTGGGGTATTTTGGTCTCTGCCCTGTTCACACGGGGACATTGCAGGGCATTTTCAGGGCAAGCCAGGTTCCGGAATGCTGAGTGACCTGTTGAGGCCCAGCTGCAGGGGGCTGTGTCTTTGTTAATGGTGAAATCCTGAGGACATAGGAGGACTCTGCCAGGCAGGATGGAAAGCAGCAGCTCAGGTGTGCAGGCCTAGCAACACTTGGAAACCCTGGTGACAGCACCACTAGCTTGCACACAGCCCAGGTCTAAGCCCTGGCAAAGTGAAAGACCAGGTAAGGGAGGGTCAGGCCACATCCTTACTGAGTTTATGGGTGCCTGCCACACCAATCTGCTCTCCGAGCCAAGGCTGGGCAGAGGCCAGGCCCCCTGGGTCCTGCTTTAGCTCCTGCTGCCGAGCTCTGCCTACCAGATGCAGGGGTTCGGTTGACCAGACACCCCTGCACCTCCTGACCTGCAGCTTGCTCTACTGCCCCCAGACTTGTCCAGGGAACAAGGCCTTGCCCTGGGCTGTGACCTGGGTCCCCAGGAAAGCTACTCGGGGAGGCTACTCACAAAGGTCCCAGTGGGTGCAGGTCATCAGCCAGAGGCCAAGGCTGATATAGGGTACCCTTCTAGTGGCCGGGCCTGGTATTGCCAGGTTGTCCCTCAGACCTTGAGTGGAAAGGGTAGTGCAGGGAGGATCCTAATCTGGACCCGGACAGCCTCAACATAAAGGGAGGAACAGGCATGGGGTCAGCGGAAGGGACAGCATCACAGAAACTGGCTCCTAATGTGATATGAACATGCACTGCACCGCACCCTGAGACAGCCTAGATATTCCCTACCCTCTGTAGCTGAGGGTCCTAGAACATTCCCTGTATTCCATAAGTGATGATCCTGGCGCCCCTGAGGGTCCTGGAACACTCCCAAACCCTCATACCTGAAGACTCTAGAGCATTCCCTGCACCCTACCCCTGAGAATTCTAGGACATGCTTTGCACTCCACCTCTGAAGATCTCAGAACACTCCTGTATCCCACCCCTGAGCACTAACAAATACCTGTACTGCCCTTGGGCTGAGGAAGAGCTGGGAGCCACCTGCTTGCCTCACCATGCAGCACTACAGCAAAGCTTTGTGGCTCCCAAAGCAGCCCTGATCCTACCAGGATGAATCTTCCTACGAGATGAAGACGGGTCCCAGAAGATGTGACCTGAGACACCACTGATGTTCCCTCCTGACCAAGGCCCAGCAAGGACAAGGCTATCCAGTATAACTCAGTGCCCAGAGAGCTGAGGCCCGAGGACTTGACCATGAGGCCGGCAAGGCTGGTGGCCATCTCTCCAAAGACAAGCCTAGGGAGGGGCTGACCTCTGGATCCACTTTTTGCTTTTGTACAGTACTGGGAATTGAACCCAGGCTTCTCCACTAAGTTACAGCCCCGGTTCTTTTTTAAATTTTGAGACAGAGTTTAGCTAAGTTGCCCATGCTGGACTCAACTTGCTGCCCTCTCTGCTTCATCCTCCCAGAGTGCTAGGATTACAGACCACAACCGGCTTGGAATCTACTTTTTAATCTATTAATGTCCAACGCAAGGGAAGGAAGACAAGAGTTCTAACATTTCTGGGACAACTGTCCTGTGTTAAGAGGCTTCACACACATGCTGATACCGGGTGGGCCCTGCGTGAGGGCAGAGAAGCCACTGGGAACACAAGAAGCAGGGAGGTGAGCACACGGTCACTCTCTCCTTGTATGCTCAGGTTTTTACAAAGCACACAACTTAAGTTCAAGACAGAACCCAGCCGGTCTGGGCCTCATGGCTGAGCTTAAGCTTATTAGCAGGGTTTCAACAGGACCCTCTGTCTGGTGGCTGAGCAAAAGGAAAATTCCTTCACTAATCTCTTTCCATGAAGAACTGCTTAGTCCCAGCTGGAGGCAGGTGCCCAGCAGGCTGGACACAGGTGGCTGAGGGCTTTCTCACCAGGAAGGCAGAGAGGCCAGCCTGCGGGCACCAATTCCTCTGCCCCCAACCCCTTGTCCTGGTAGCAGGTAGGGGCTCCCTCTGCAGGATCCAAGGCACTTTACTCTGGCTTGCTGTGGCATGTGGGGGTGCAGGGCTACCCCAGCCACTACCCCAGCAGCTTTAGACCCTGTGACCTTCCACAGCCACTTACCTTCCCCAGCTTTGGCTGCTCAAGACCAAGTGTGAGAAAAGCCCAACCCTCCACCACTGCCTGTGCCCAGCACCCCAAGTCCACATGCCTGCTCTTTGGTGAAGTTCCCCAGCAGGTAGGGAGTGATGAAGCTCTCGCCTGGCCGCATCTGTGCCATGAAGCCATAGAAGCAGAGGTAGAACACCAGGCAGCTCCATGCCTTGTTCTCCAGGCCAGGCTCGGACTCTTCCACTGGTGCCTGCTTCTCCTCCGCCTGGCTCGAGGGCATCACTCCACCCAGGTCCGCACAGGACCCTGGCAGAGACTGAGGTGAGGCTCAACCTGAAGGGAAGAGCTGAGTTAGGGCAGGATGACACAGGGCCCAGCACCCCTTCCTTCCCACAGTGCTTTTCCCGATGCTCGTTCAGCTAGGAGGCAGTGTCAGCTTGGACACTGACCAGTGCCCAGAGCCGTGTCCCTGACCACTCCTTATCACCAACCTGAGACTCACTGGAGCCCTAAAATCCAGTCCCATTCCCAGACGGTGCTGCCTTCTGGGTCTCCAGGGCAGACAGGATCCTTCAGCCCACAGTAGTTCCTTAAAGGTTAACTTAAACCTTAAAGTCAACTTAACGAACTACTTCACTAGCTCTTTACATTAAAAATGTTCCAAATTCATGTTTGGAGGCACAGCACTCACTCTGTGTGTACCTGACACAGTGTGGCCATGTTCCCTTCCTCTCCCTGATAGTCTTGGGGACAGGCTCTCCAGCCACTGGTATGGGCAGAGGTGACCAGACCAGACACGTCTCTTGCAAGCTGCTGTCCTAGCAGCGCTCAAGGACCAGAGGAATGGTGTGTACCTGCCACAGGCCATATGCTGGAGGACCTGGGGTAGATTCTCCATGGCTGGGCAGAAGACACTAGGGAAGGTGCCCACCAGGGCCTGAGGGTAGCTGTGGGGCAAAACAAGGTGTGAAAAGGGACAGGAGTCAGAGCACAAAGACCCTGTGTCCAGGAGCAGCCCGAAGCCTGCCTCTGGAGACAGATGTGACCTTCCAGGTAGAGCTCCCCAGGTGACAGCCATCCAGCCTTGGGGCTGGCCTCCCCATGCAGTCCCAATGTACTTTGGGTGGTCAGACCAGACCATGTGAGGTTTTTGCTCAGTCTTATCTGAGTTCTGTTTGGGACAGAGGCTCCATCCATCTTACACCATGAGAACATGCCCCACATGTTTCTGACTGTCCTGTCTAACAAGGCAATGCCATGCCCAGCTGCCTACCAAGCCACTTGGAACTAATTTTACTTCCCCACCTCTGTGTTCCACTTGCTACCAGTTTCCTTGTAGCTAAAAGGTGAGCTGCCTGGGAGCAGGGCCATGACAACCAGGAGGCCAGCCTCCCACTCTCCACGACAGGGCCTCGCTAGCAGCCTCACAGTGAGCTCCTCCCAAATGCTGGGCCTGGCTCGGCTTGTGTCCGATGTGGCTAAGGCAGGGTAGGGATGTGCTGGGTGCAGAGGTAACCTATCCCTCGTGGGCTGGCTCCCAGGTGCTTAGACAACTCTGCCTTGACCACTGCAAAGAGTGGGTATATGCAGAGGATCTGGAAGCAGGGAGAACCCTCTCTTGCCCTCAGGCAGGGGCAGAGAAAGATCCCAGTTGTGACACAGATCAGTTCTGGGGGCCCAGAGGCCCAGCATTTGGACCCCGGCTGAGAGTTCTCTGGCTGGAGGTACCTCCTCCCCACAAGGGACAGAGACCCTGGAAAGCAAGAGGGCCTGTGGGCCACTGGTGGGCAGGCACCTGGGCCTACCCACCAGTTGGGTAGGCCCTACATGGTTGGGACCCCATCCTCTAGGTCTCAGCAGGTTCCTTTCTGTGAGAAGAGGACCTTGGGGTCACAGCAGGAGCTAGATGTTTGTTTGTGAGGGCTGCTGGAATGTGAGCAGCTGTAAGAATTCCAGAGCCCCAGCAGGGGGGACAGGACGATACACAGCAGAGATAGTGACCTCTAAGCCACAGGGCCTGAGACAGGGTCCATATCCTCTGGGGCCAGAATGAAAGTGACAGGCTAGGTGGGGGCCGGGCCACCTCTTGAGCATCAGAGAGGGACACAGCACAGGACAAGCTGCTTCAGGGAGGCCACTTTTCTTGGCCCTGCTCTTCCCAATCTCCCTGGATGCCTTTGGAAACAGCTGCAAAGGGCCAAGTACCAGGGAGCCTTAAACTCAATCCCCCACAGCACCAGGAAAAGCTGTGCAGAACAGGACAGGCCAGGCAGGGAGCACCTGTGTCCAGCCCACTGCCACCCAGTGGCACTTCCCACCTCACTGGCCCTACCGGCCCATGCTCAGGGCACAGGCTCAGAGATCCAGGGCTTGGCCTTGCTGAAAAGATACTATCCTTGCTGAGAGGACATTCCTTACTCAGGGTCAGTCAGATCTGGGCTCCTGACAGAAGTTCCCAGATGCCAGTGTAGTGCTCCCCAGCCTCACTGACCCCTGGGCATTTCTTAGGCTGCTGTGGCCCTCATTAGGGAGCCTCTCTGTCTGTCTGAAGCTCAGGGTGCAGCCCAGGACCCTGTCCTCCTAAATGTCCCATAGGAAAGCCAGAACGGGCAATGCACCACACCACTCTCAGGACTGAATGGGGTGGACATCCAGAGTTAGCGACCTGGCACAGCAGCACCCACCAGTGTTCAGATGGCTCCCAGAAGTGGACAGCCTGGTTCGTCTTCCAGGATGTCTCACATATCGGGGAGCCGGACTCCCCAGAAGCGATCCACAAGTAAGGAGCTACCTCAGTTGACATTCAGTGACCCATAACACTCACATGGTTGGTTGGCCAGGGAATGGGTCAAGGCCAGCCAAAGGGCTTGTTGGGTAGAACCCCAAAGCTGCCTCTTGCAAGCTCTATTCCATCCCTCCCAGCCCAGGGTCAGGGCTGCTCAAGGCCACTCCCTCCAGCCCCCTATCACCACTTGAAGATACTGCCATATCTAACGGAGACGCCCTAATCCTGGTGAGCAGGCCCTAGACACTGGCCAAAGCTCCTGTGACCCATGTTCTGTGCAAACATGATGACCAAGAGGTCAGATGTGTCCCCCACAGGGTGGGCTCTGTGACGTGCACCTCTGCCTTCCTCCTGGGATCATGTGCCAGGTCTGCAGCCTCTTAGCTGGCAGGTCTCCCTGCTAGGCATGGTGCCTTCCTCCTCAACTGTCTCCATAAACATGCTCAGAGAAACCCGGCTGCCTCCATCTGCCTTCATCAGACCAGCTTCCCAGCAGGAGCACTCAGAGGAATGTTCAGTATGCCTCAGGAACTCAGCCTCTTTCTACTCCCCATCCAGCTGCAGGGACCTCTGACTTCCTCTGATGGGAACCAGGAGGCCCAGGCAGCTCTGGACAAAGGTGGCTCTGGACAAAGGCCCATCCTCAGAGGACCTTTATTTCCAAGGGCTGGCCAGCAAGAGCAACCAAAAGGAAGTGGTAAGGCACAGTAGCTGCCAGCTCCAGGCTCCCTGGAGACAGCCAGTTTCATTCTGATTTAGACATTTCCTGAAAGCTATCAAGACCTTCCCTCTCATCTGTGCAAGCCACTCACCCCACTCCTGGGGGTGCACAGCTCTGCACTACCTACCTAACCAGACCCTAGATTTGCTACACAGTACATGACAGGGGAGTGTGGATACTACCTGTGCATATGGCCAAAAAATTCAGGTCCAGGTCTGGAGCTGCTAACTCCAGTGCCCACAGGGCAGAGGACAGAGTAACTGAGCAGTGAGCTGGGCCAGGCCACAGACTGTGGGAAGAATTTGATCATGACCAGGAGACCTGGCTGCCACGTATGGATGAGGCCAAAAGTCCACAGTCTTACTCCAAATCTGTTTTTAACACTGGCTCCTGACTGAAAAAATGTTGACTACTGCAGGTCTAAACTCAAGTTAATATGCACAGTCTTTTAGACTGCTAGGCAGCGTGGTTTTTTCTCAGCTTCTCTCTGGGCCACCTGTGTAGGCCCTGAGGGCCATCTAGGGTCTCCACAGTCCACTTTCCTTCCAGTCAAATCCATACCACCTGTGGTCATACAATGTCACTCGCATACAATGAGATCACACAGCTGAGTCTCCTCTTGAGATGCAGGCCGGCTCAAAGAGCAAAGGCCCGGGATCCCTGTAAGGTGCTTGCAATTGCATAAACAGAGTGGAGACTAACAACGAGGTGGCAGGGCTTGGATCCAGTGTAACTTCCAGCCCCTTCCAGGCAACTTCAGGAAGTCCTGGGCCAGCCAGGGAGCCAGAAATTTGAACCCCACTGCTCCTCTTGACCACCCCTAGCAGCTGTCCTTAGGGCAGTGTGGAGCACTGGTGCACCCCCATTTCATTCCCCTACAAGCCCAATATAAGAAAAAAAAAAAAAAAAAAGGAAGCAGTACTTTTTTTTTTTCCTTTGGTGCTGGGGATTGAACTCAGGGCCCTGCATATGCTAGGGAAGCATTCTACCACTGAGCTACACCCCAGCACAGTCCTCTATTTTAAACCAGCTAGGCTCTCAGAACAGACCAGAACATTCCTTACATTTCAGAGCAGCTGCCAGTTAAAAACAGAAAAAAAAAAAAAAAAAAAAAAAAAAAAAAGGCACTGCACCTCTCTGAAAGCCGCAGGTGAGTATAATAAAGCCTTCTGAGTATGAATGCTGCAGGCTCAAACACCCTGGGATGACCCCATTTTCAGCTGGCCCAGCACAGGTACCCACATCTGGGTTAAAGGTCCCAGGCCAAGGCAGCCAGTCACCTGCAGAGGTCTGCTCCAGAGCATGGAAGAGGCAGGCATCTGCACTGGCCAGATGTCTTGTATCCTGCTGAGCCAATCAGGGCTGGGCACCACAAGTTTCCTTGGAAGAGGTCACTTTTCCACAGGGTGGCCCAGTAAGCAACACCAAGGACTTTACCCCATCTTCTCTATAGAAGCTGAGCAATAAAACCAGCTTAGGTTTTCCACTTACATCCTGAGGCCAGGCAGTGACAGTGACAGCCACAGCAAGGTGAGGAGTCCTGTGAAGATATAGTATGTGACTGGGCCGCTGGCCAGACTCCCAGGAGCTCCCAGAAGCCATGAGGCCCTGGGATTCGTTTCCTATGCTAGAGGCTTTGGAAGACTACTCAGGCCATTGTCGAGGCCAGAGGCTGTCAGGACCGGGGCCAAGCACTGCTCCAAGGGGAAGTTGTTCGAGCTGTCCAGCATTTACAACCTCCGGTCCCACAATGAATGGGGCGCACCAGGCCCAGGTGGGCGGGGGCTCCCCCGGCTCACAGCACGTGGCGAAGGCTGCAGGGGAGGCAGGAGGCAGCGCTGGTCCACGCGGTCCCCTTGCCCGGAAGGGCCTCGGCGGGAAAGGGCCTCAACCGAGAGGGCGGGGCGGGGCAGCGGCGCCACGACCTCCAGCCCGCAGCCGCGGGAAGTTGCAGAAGGGAAGCCCTGGGCGCGGGGAAGCCTACTCTGCGCCTGACGCCCCAGAGACCGTAGCACTCCGCGGACCCCGGCCTGCACCATGCACTCGCCCAGAGACACCGGCACCCGGCCCGCTCCCCGCCCTTGCCCAGAGACCCTGGCACTTGGCCCGCAACCCGCACTCGCCCAGAGACCCCGGCATTCAGCCTGCACCTCAAACTCACCACCCGTGCTGCAATGCGGCGCGCGCTAGTCGCACTCCCACAGACCGGCTGGCACCTGGATTCAGCTGACAGTGACGCCGAGGGTACCTTGCACACAGACTACATCGCCCACAAAGCGGCGCTGTGGGCGCGGGGCCTGCCGGGAGAGGCGTGGCTACATGACCACGCCCCTCGAGAGGAGGGACTGGGTGGTCGCGGGGCGACTCTGCAGGGCCACGCCCCGTGCGGGCGCCAGGGTGGGCTCCTGGCTAGCGGGTGGACGGGTGCTAGTTCCTCAGAGGGTCCTTTGTCCCTGTGCTCCTCTCACGTGTGATCCCCGCCGCTCCCGCCCTGGGTCGCAGACAGCCTGTGCTTGGCTGTGCAGACGTGAGACCCAGGATTCCTGTAAGAGCAGCTGGGGATCCCCTGTGAGGGCAGGGGATCGTAGTGACCAGCAGTCCCAGAGGCCCTGCCCTGAGGGGGAGCAGGAGGAGTTTCCAGTGGCCTCTGGGTGCCTGTGGTCCAGGACCCACTTTGATGTGAGAAAGTGTCAATTGTATAACAAAGTCAAGACACGCAAAGGCAGATATTCCAGCAGTGAGCAGTCAGGTCCCTGGGCGTTGCGTGTCACTAGTCATATGTTTTTTTTTTTGTTGGTTTTTTTTTTTTTTTTTTTTTTTTTTGTCTTTTTCGTTTTTATCGGTACCGGAGATCAAACTCACGACTGCCTGCTTGCAAGGCAGGCGCTTATGCCGCTGAGCTAAACCTCCAGCCCCTACTAGTCATATGTTTTAAGAGGCTCTCACGTGTTTGTCCATGTGCAGGGCAGCATGGGCTGCTGGGGGTGTGGCAGACCAGAGTGAGCGTTGGTCCCTGGATGGCCTTGGGCTGCAGGGGTCACCTGTCTCAGCAGGTTCACAGAGATCCCTTCCTCTCCCCTGCCCTAATGAGTTCAGGTGAACTGCAGCCCAGCTCATACCAAGGCAAGGAGCTCTAAGGGTGTCCCCATATGGCATCAGAGAGAACCCACAACCCTGAGGCCCAGGGCTTCCTGCCCACTAGCTGCCAGAGCCTCCTGTCCCCATGTCCTCCCAGCAGGACTTCAGGTGAAGACAGTCCTGGGGTCAGGCTGGGAGGTCAGAGCATGCCTCAGGACCACTTAGCTCCAAGTCTGTTTCCTTTCAGGGAACCAGTGAGGATGAGGACTGAACAGGGTGGGCACTTGACACAGTCGTGGCCCCTAAACAGCAGGGCACATTGAAAATCACCAAGCACAGTGGCCACAGAAGGCACAGACAGGTCCAGTTGGAGGAGGGCAGAAGGGGCTTCCAGCCCACTCTCTCCAGCCAGCCCTACACAACTGAGTTAGTTCTCTGCAGTCTGGGGTACTCTGGATGAAAGACTTGGCCACCAGATCCCCCACCACTGTCCAGCCCAAGGCTCCCCACAGTGCATCTCCCCCACTTCTGCTCAAACCAGAGCTGGTGATCTCGGGTCAGAACTCTGGTCTCCCTGAACAAGACCTAGCTCAGAGACATGGCTTGGGCCCAGCCCCAGGGGGATAAGGGGACCAGGACTAGGTACTAGAAAGGCTCAGCCAGTCACTCATTCCTGGGCTCCCAAATGGGGGCTCCTTCCAGTGGGCCTCATTGCAGTGCTATCAGGCCCAGCCAGAACATGTGGGCACCCAGCAGCCGACAGGCTGTCCACTCCCAGTGTAGGGTCCCAGGCCCTGAGAGGTAGAGGACATATGTGAGGGGATGGAGCACCACTGTCCCTCAGCATGGAGGCCGTGGTCTGCAAGGAGAGGAGAGCCAGTGGGATGGACTGACCTTGGCCCAGAAGACCTGGGAAGGGACTTGAGAGGAGAGACAGAGAGACAGGTGCGTAAGTGTTTGGGCCCAGGGGCTGGGCATGGTGCATTCCCAGGGTTTGAGTTTCTGGGACTCCTGAATATCCAGCCACGGCCTCCCTTACACACTCACTTGTGGGTGGCATGGGTCCTAGACACACAGGCCCACCTTCCTGTGAACAGGTTGCTTGGCAAGCCAAGCCCTGAGGCCTCTGCAAAGCCCAGTGCACAGAAGGTCCAGGTAGGTTGTGCCCAGAGCCAGGCTCCTGGCAAGGCCTGGAGGGCCATGGGTGTGACTGTCCCCTCCCCTCTCCTCACAGATGCACACTGCAAACCCAGAGGGTGTCCTGGCACAGCATCCCTCTTGCAGGCCAGCTGTGAAATGGTTTGATTGCTGTGGTTGGCCAGCATTCCATGCCTGGTTGTACCCAGGACATTGCTGGCTCTGACAGCCTGGAAGTGTTCTGTCATATCAGGTGCCACCACTCACAGAGTCAGCGCCTCCCAGAGCCCTCTGCATCCCCGACTTTCTCTCTGAACAGCACCAGGCATCCGTCCCTTCTGCTCAAGCCCCTCTGACTCTGGGGTCCCACTCCTTGCTTGAGACCACAGTGTTTGCCTCTGGCCATCAGTCTCTACCATAGACCTGGCTGCCACCTCGTGCTGTGGGACTGGAGCAGGGCTGGGCCAAGCTCTTACTGTTGCCCTCTTCCCCCCTACCCCAACTTCTTAGGAGCCTCAATGGACCTGTTCTAGTCATTCTGGTCCATATTGTCAGGTTGCCTTGAGTAACTGTGTGAGGGCACAAAGGGGCTGTCCTGCCCTGTGGGTCAGGAACTGGAGGTGCAGCCTAGGGGCCTGTTTGGACACCCCAACCCTCAGGAAGCCCCTGCTGGGGCAGCAGGCCCTTGTCTCACCTCCTTGGTCACTTCAGTGACCAGCGACTAACAGTGGCTGCCCTGGGCTGTCCTTACTCCACCCCTTCCCTGGACACATGCCCCTGGGCTGGGATCCACCTTGACTCTGACAGATCCCCCGGCAGCATCAGGGTCACCTCTTGGGGGTGGGGTAAGGGGCACACCCTGGGCCAGCTGTCAGCTCCCAACAGTCGGAATGACAACATCAGATAGCAGTGGGGACTTGAGAAACACTGAACCAGGCAGGGCCATATGAATGGAGCTCGGGGAAGGTGGGGTCGGAAGGCAACCATTTGGGAAGCCAAAGACCTGTCCTCCCTGCCAGCTCTGCACCACAATCCCCTGCCTGCCAGCATTGGTCCTGGGGGAAAGACACTGCTGGCCCCGCCGTGCCTGGGGAGGCCACGCTGAGGAGTGGACGGGAGTCAGAGGGAAGGCAGAGGAGAGGGAAGGACAGAGTCATGCTCTGTCCACAGAGGGCCTGTCAGAGCCAGCAAGCCTAACAATCTACCAAAATGCTCAAATGGGGCCAATTAGGCCCTACAGTAAAACAGTCACAGGCTACAAAGTCTATCTGAAGTGGGTTGTGCCACTACATACTAACAACTGATTCTTGGTGTATCAGTTAGGGTTAACTAGAAGCTCGGATTTAGTATAACAATGTATATTTGTGATTTACAGGGCATACGGTGCCTCAAAGGTCAAGGCCCCAGAGTTCACCCCAGGCCCGCGGGAGACAGCATCAGGAAGCTTGCAAGGTCTGTGCTGCAGCCTGGAAACACACCCCAAGGTCAATGAGGGCTGGAGCAAGACTTCCTTCTCCTTCCCTTCCTGTCATCCAGGCTCCAAGCTACCACCACCCAGGTTGGGTGTCCCCTCTTTAATGAACCCAGTGTTCAGATGCAGCCAGCACTGTGCTAAGCAGATCAGCTGGGCATTTCTTATATGAGTCCACACCACAGACTATTACATCTAGAAAACAAAAATAAAGACACTTTACAATAACATTGAAAAATTGTAAAGTGCCTAAGAATTAAACTAACAGAAAAGTAGATGTGCTCTACACCAAAAATGATGTAACATTATAAGGAGAAGTTGATATTTGTAAAGTATGATGAACACTGGCTGAGAAAATAAATATCTACACAAACAGGAGTTGGGACGAGATGCCTTGTTCATAGGTTTGTAAGCTCATTCACGTGAACGGTCTCGTCTGGTTCAGCACAATCTAAACTCTCAACAGGCTTTTTAGTCTGCAGAAATTGAGCAGCTGATTCAAAAATTGATCTGGAGACACAGAAGACCTACAGCAGATAAGTATTTTGAGAAAGAAAGCAAAGAAGATGCCAACCTGCTCAGTTGATGGCTGACCACACACACAGGAGCCTGTGACCTTGAGAGAGAAAGGACACAGCGGGTTGGGTAGGTGGGAGGACGTCTGGGCTGGCTCTGAGGCCGGACACTCCCTAGCCTTGGGAGGCCTGGGGCTGTCCCTGCACCACCCCCTAAGGAGCATCTGTCTCCCTGACACTGTGCATATCGGTTGGAAATGCATTACAGACCGGAGTGAAGAGCCCTGCTCAGGCCCTTGGCCCGCTCCTGCGGGAGGAGATGGGGCTGATGAGCCTGTGTGGGTTAATGTAGCAGTCACTGGAGTGGCCACGTACAGCTACTTAAATTGTTACAAACTCCAGTCCTTGCCAGTTCTGTGCTCACTAGGCACAGACTTCCTTTGCGTCAGAAAGGTCACCTCTATAACAAGCATCACTTCCTGGCACTGAGACCAGATCCCTGAGATGGCAGATGTGTAAGGAGGAGGCATGTGTCTGTGGTGGCAGTTTGGGGTTTCAACCTGTAATGAAGTGGGCATCATAGTGGGGTACACATCAGAGCGAGGCTGCTGTGCCTCCGCTGCAGGCGGAGGGAACCAGGAATGGTCAGGGCCCCCGTCTTCTTCCGAGGCTCATGCACAGGGACCCCCAAGGCCTCCCACCAGGCCGGGCCTTTGGAGCTTCTCTTCCCAGTGGCCCCTTCGGGACGACCAAGCCACACACATGGGCCTTGGAGTCATGTGGCAGCCAAACTCTTGTGGTGCACCATGGGTAGGAACGGGAAGGCGCCTTCCCAGCAGGGGACACATAGGAAGCAGAACCTGTGACAAGGAGGGAACCCAGCAGTGTTCACTTCCCAAGGCCCTCTGTTCCTCTCTGTTCC